AATCGATTACGGCAAACCAGTAATCAGGCAGCCAACACCGCCCCGAGGAGGATGTCTGCAACGACGACGTCGCCGTCGTCGCCGGACGAACCGTCCGAAGGCCAAGGCCACCCACCCGTTCCATCGACCAGCCGCACTTTTCCGCCGCCACTTCGGCGCGGTGGTAAGCCCCAATTTCTCTCCGGTGCTGGAGCAGCACAGCTCGAGCCATCTAGCGGTGCGAGTGAGAATCACGTCACCGCGGAGCCAAGCCGGCGCGCACCGGCGGGAAGCTCGACGCGAGAGCATGCAGATTCTACAAATACTGGGGGGCAGAGTCCAGCCTCAAACTTAATTGTTGGCCAAGCGCTCGATCAGGCCGAGGTTTATAACGATTTGGGCGCTCTTCTGCAGGAGCATTATCCGGAAAAGTTAAATTCGGTTGAAGGGCCGTCCTCCGAGGCCGGCGCGGAGGAGTTTGAATGCGCGCCGTCACGTAATGACCAAGATATGGAAATTTTAGTAGTTCCATGCGAGGATTATCAACCTTACCAAACAACACCTTCTCCACCAGGGCCACCGCGCCGTCAATGTCCTTCAGGAGGCCCAGGACCTTCGGGGCTCCAGGGCAACGTCCCCAACGTAAAAAGACAAAAGATAGAACCGCTCGCGATGGTACAAGGGGGCGGAGTTCAAATTAACTCCGACCCGCGGCAGGGTATAGCTCCGTCCATGGTTGTTTGCAGGTCCACGGTCGAGGCTCCACGACCACCTCCCTTGATGGGGGGAAACCAACTGTTTGATCCACCACCACCGTGGGGGGCACAACCTGTTGACCCGCGTTTTCGCCCGCAGCCACACCATGGCTTTTTCATGCGGCCACCACACGCCGCGTTTCACAGAACGGGACAGCCGTCTTTGCTAGGAGCTGCGCCGTTCGCGCCGCGTCAGGTGCCTCACTGGCAGCCGCCGGACATGCTGGCGCCATTCTATGATATGTTTCACTACTTCACGCACCCCCCCGGCTCTCCATTCTTTCAGGAAGCACATCGCGCGGCGTGTGGCCCGCCAGGGTTGTGCCATCCAAACGCACAGATGATGCACCAGTTTGCAAATGGGCAACCGTTTCATATGAACGGCCCTGCTCCTCTCCGACTTTTCTACCCACAAATCGACATTGCAGGTGTCGAGGTACGATACCCAGCCCTTGCTGACGCCGCAGGGCAGCTGCCGGGCCCTCCGCCGCCGATCCTCAAGGTAAAGCCCGAGAACGTTATTACTATGGCGGCGGTCAACGCCTTCCCAAAGGTCGCCACGATCACTGTAGGTGCTCGATCCCGAGCCATGGGAACCATAGTTGGGGTGCCTTGCACCGGTTGGGGGGCACAAGAAATACAAATGGTGCAAAGGTTTGTACAGACTAACGGGCTTTCCCATTTTCCACCAACCGTAGAGGTGCCGCCGCCAATTTTCCCGGGCAAGATAATGCACGAGATGAAACCGTCCGGGAGAAACTGCGTTAAAAAACTGATAGCCGCGGTCACACGTGTACTGCACAATAAGGTCACCGGAAAAGCTGCGGTCGCAAAACCACCTCGGACACTTGAGGACCACACGCGAAATATTTTCGTAGAGCCATACATGCACGTACAAGAGCAAGACGCTGTCCTCGCTCCGGTGGCTTACTGTTGTTTGGGACTCGCGGCTAGAGAAAGAGCTTTTAGATGGCACGTAACAATGGCAGAGTTTCAAGCCGCAGCTAAGTGCTTGGCAGCTTCGCTAAACGCTGAGGTCGAGCTTTCGCTCGCTGACGCCACCGCGTTTGTGTACCTTAATCGTAACCCGCTATACGCCCTGCCAGATCCGGACAGTCTACTTCTGTGGCAGGCCGCGCTGACATCCATTTCGGCCACCATTCCTGCGGCCCAAGAAGACGAAGTTGAGAAGGGCAGGAATAGATTCGCCATTGAGGTCCAAGCTCAGTTGCGCGCCGTAGTTGCGAAGAATGAAGCACCGAATCACGCCGCATTTACTCGCGTGACAGTCGAGATTTTAGCTATTTTGGCCAGGCAGTGTGTTTCCATCACCACGGATGCTGCTGGTGTGTTGGCAGTTTACGAGTTACCCTCGCGACCTACAGTGGGCCAAGTGACGCGAATTTTCGAGTTTAAGCGAGGTCGTTACACTCGCGAGATAAAGAGGGAGGCGAATCATCTTTTTGACGGGATGCTGTCGAGCATCGTTGGCGACTACATCCACGCCATTGGACCACGACCCGGTTTCCTCTACGCTTTCCCTCTCCCGCTACTGGCCATTATGAAGTGCATTTATGCTATGCCACTTCGTGACCAGGCAATATAGGAGACATGTCGTCCTACTACGAACAAATTACGACCTGGGGGCTTTTCAGCCCGTTTTACGCTGATATCAGCAACAAAAGATAAACAAAACAAACAAATAAAAAATATACAAAAAAAAAAGAGAAACAGGGGAGAATACAAGACGAGATGGAATACAACCTAACCAAGGAAGAACAATGGATTATTAAGTGCTGAACTTTCATTTCTCGTTACATCAAACTTACTATGTTACTTTTGTGTGGCTCCCGACTTTATATATATTAAACAAGATTGTGCAGTGCTACGTAATATTTCCGTTTTTTTGTGCCAGTGTTTCCAATATTGTCAATTTTCCTACAGTTGAAAGTTTATTTGCGCCACACATTTATACACAATTGATTTATTTATACATGAACACGAATTACAAATTTTTAAGTGCTGCGAAGAAGATGAATCAAGTGTTGAAAACAAAAAACGAAAAAAAAAAGGAGACATAGAAATATAAACATTACACGAAGATGCGCCGAAGGCTTCCAACGGACAAGTGTCGTCTGTCCGTAATTCTTAATTATTGTATTTTGCCCTCCCTCTCACACGCACAAACGGCACAGGGATGGGGCGCATAAAATTGCACGTTTCCGAATGTAGTGCAGAAGAAGTACAAATTTACGATTACGCGATATTTTCCATTACACATACTCCGATTTCATTCTCGTCCGTACAAATTTTACCTCCCAGTTAAAATTTCTCCTACGGAAGGGGGGAACGGCTAGGCCGAGGAATTTTTTTTTATATATTCAGGGTAAAAATTTCAATAATCTTCAAAGTAAAAACTTCAATCATTCACGGTACAAATTTTAAGTAATTAAAATTTCAAGTAACAGGGAGGGATATGTATCCTCCCTGGGATACATCATTTCATAAGAATAAAGGATTAATAAAAATATTGTTTTAAATTACTCGGAGGTCACTAATTAATAATAAAAGCAAAATTAGAAGTACAAATTATTACTAGTCACGATTCAAATTTAGGGAGCACACGATAGTTCAAAACTACAAAAGAATATAATGCGAATTAAGATCGCGCGTTTTCCGCAAGGAGAGTGAAATTTAGTCCAGCACGGTGTTTGTTAAAATAATTCATTTTACGGCTTAATGATTGCACAGATGCTTAAAGTAGGCAACCAGCGCGACATCAGCGTCACGCCAGTTGCATAATTTCTTAAAGTAAAAAGAGCAAGTTAAAAACAGGCAAAGTCCTCTTAAATGAGACATTTTAATCAAGGTCATAATTCAATGTTGGCAGTTTGCAGTTGAGTGCTTCTCAAAAGGGGTTGCAAAAATAATTATGGGACGTAGCAGCGGCTCGTGCGGCGAGCAGACACGACGCGCTGCGGAGTCCTCGAGGTCAAAGCCCTCGGTTGGTTTTCGCACTGCGGACTTCACTCGCAGGGCGGATTTTTAGGCGAGCCTCGAGCAAATAACATGATGCCCAAGAATGCGCGGGGCAAGAGGGCTGGCGTGTGCTCGGCTGGCCACTCGCGTGTGCAGAAAAGAGAAGGAGGTCGGTCGAAGACACCGACATTTAAATGCAAATGAGGGTAGTCATGGCAACGCTGAGGCGCCCCAAAGAAGGCCGGCCCAACGATTTTTGCAGCCTAAAGAAAGGGGAGAACTTAATGCACTGCGACAGAAAATTGATTTTAATTAGAGGTCACTTTGAGGACGTGCTAAATGTTTTTGCTCGTTCTTTCATGCGGCATTTAGCCCAAGTTGCGCAAATATTTAACTCTTGCGAAGCACGCGAAGGACACTGCGACGGAACAATTATCTTTTTGCGGAAAAACGGGGGTCACCGGACAGTATAAAAGGCAGAGTCGCGAAATGAAAGGGGCATTCGAAGTTGGTCTCGCGCATCATCATCTCGTGGGAAATTCAGACGTTCGAATCTCGCCATGGCTGGTGGCCCGGGTGGTTTCTCATCGCTCCGGCATGAGCCGATTTCAGCTGCGAATTTAGTCAATTCTTTTGTGTAAGTACCATTTTCTTGAATATATTTTGGATGGGCGCGCGTTCAACGTTATTATATTAATTCGTGAATTATACGGAGTTGCGAGTTAGGCGAAGCGGGCGCGCTAATATGGTTTATTTCGGGAGTTTGATTAAAAAGGGTTAATTCGGAGATCATTTGTTTAAGAGCAATTTTGAATACACACGCGCACAACTGTTCCCTTTTACTATTGCAAATGTTTCAAATTGTATTAATTGAGAGTAAGGAGAATTAATTGAACATTTCTGTATTTGCTTTCGAGATTATTCACAATAAAATATTCATGAGAAAAGTTCCGTCCAAATCGATCAACGTTTAATTCCTATGATTAATACCCATATTCATTAATGATTTATTAAGAGTTAATTAATTTCAATATTATGAGAAATACTGAATCCAGTTAAGAAGGGACAACAATTTATCCTAGACAGACGCCAACCTCAACTATAAATAACCCTCTCTGGATATCGTGGAGGTTCGAGGAAGAAAAGGCGCGACACCTCCGGCCAATAAGGGAGTTTAAATTGAAGGGTTAAACTTAACTAGGCCGGGAGAGTAAGCAGAGAGATCATTTTATTTTCTTTTTCTTTTTTTATTAAAAATGTGTAAAATTAATTTCAAGTTAATTTCAGAAGCGCTGATGTAGATTTGGAACTGGACAAGCAACTTCTGCTGGAGATTGCCCGGGCAAAGAGATCTAAAGTGAAAAACTTGAGACCTTTGAAGGAACTGGCTTTAGAAAAATTAGTAAGCAGTAATGAATGTGATCAAAGATCTATTGCACCATTTCGATACCTCCAAGTCTGTAAGAAAATTTAATTTTTAATTTTTTCTCACATAGAATTTAAATTTGGTTTTTAATGCAATTTCCACAAAAATAAATCAAATTGTTCAATTACAGCTCCTCTGTTGCAAAGAGAAATCTTGAGTCACATGGTGACCCACGCTTCAGACTGCAGGCGCCGCATGCGGAACTGTGGGCGGAACCGTGCCCCAGTCGTCAAGTTCAACTGGTTGTTTGAATTGGCGAGCCATCTCTTGAGTGTGCATACAAAGGAGTTTGACTTCAGCATCTTTGACTATCCATTCCTTGTGACAACCAGTGACGATAAACAAAGAGTGTGGATGATGCTGGTTGACAAGTGTCCAAACTTGGAGAGCATCTTGGACCAGAGTCGTGGTTTAGCACCAGCCCCCAACCCAAAATTGTGCAGTGTGATGTCGTATCTGCAGAATTTTCCAAAACTCAAACACATTCTCCTGGCACATTATTTTTGTACTTCTGAAGATTTGGCGCAGCTTGCTCAACACTTGCCACAACTGCAAACTTTGTCTGTTGCTTTCAAGTATTTCTTCTCTGATACTCTGCAGAATTTGCTCCTTCTTCAAAACTTGGAACGAGTGGACATCACTTTGCGCCATCGTTATTCCCACGAGTTTGAAAATGAGGTTTGTGTCATGAAATTTAAAATATAATTATAAAAATTTTAACTAGATTCCTCGTTGCAGGCAAATAAATATTGGAAAAATAAAAGAAAAACCGACCCCATAAGACGACCTGTAGTCTGCTGGTACTTTGATGGTACCAGTGTTTGTTTTAGTACACCTGACAAACATCTTAGAATTTAATGCACCAGTAGACCATAGGTTGCTTTTAAGTGTCAGATTTTCCTTTTTTGATTCCCTTGCAATGGGTAATCTGGTTCAAATTTTTCATTAAATCCACCTGGAGTGTTGGCTTTCAATTTATAATTCTAATAATATATTATATTTTTGATAGTTGCTGAAAAATGAGCATGAGCAAAACATAAATAGCTTCAAAGCAGATTGCATGGAGCACCTGCCACGCTTGCAGTACTGCTCAGGAGGCGAAGAGCACCACAACTATCGTCCTTACGAAGGCAACAGAAAACTATCCATGAAAGAAATTGATGTTCTTGGTGGATTTGATTTTGAACTTGTCCCATTTTTGGAGAAACTGAAATTAACAGGACCTGATCTCAACATTCCATGCCATAGCTTCCGACTTCTTTCCAATCTGACAGTTTTGGATTTGCTTGGATTTGAAACTTCTAATACTTCTGATGTACTGACCCACTGTGGTGACAAACTCCATGAACTATTTGTTAGAAACTGGAGTGAAAATGGTATGGACCCTTACGAGGTGTTCTTCAAGTGCCCACAACTGCGCACACTTAAAATATCTGAATGCTCAGTATTTAGGGGGGAGAGCACTTTTCAATCTCAAATGGTGGCGAAGCATGTGAAGCACTTGAAACATTTTGAATACATGACCCCATTTTTCCCACCTGATTTCTTGGCCTTTGTCCTGGCGGCACCAGATTTGGAGATATTTTCTAGTTATAAGGACTGGAATTTGTCTAGCATGGTCCTGGCCCGTTTAAGTGTTGAGCTAGTTGAAGGATGCATTTTACAGAATCTGAAGTTAATTAATTTTGAAAATTACAATGGCAGGCCCAATGCTTGCGTTGAGTTTGTAAAGTTTCTTAAGCTCCTTCCTTTCTATGCCCCTGCACTTCAGTGGGCGCCCAAATGGCTTATTCGGCGAAAAGGCCAGAGCCCGAAGGGCCCTCCGGAGGTCCCTGACCCTTTTTAACATAGGGCTGTATGGGCGAGGGGCAAGGGCCCCTGAAATCCACGCCCCACAGATAAGGGGGCCCATAATGGGCTCATTAGAGCCACATTGGAATCTTCTCTTGAGCAATGAAATTGAGTTGGGTCTGCAGTAGTGTTAAGATCTTTTGCATAATATTATAGTCATGACTGAAAAATGATAATTCTGATGAATAGAACAAAAAATTTGAATTTATTCTAGGTAACACTGCCAGTTCTAAATTCTGAATGAAAGATTTAAAAAAAAATTTAAATCTTGGTTAATTGTTTAGTAGGATTTGGGCATCTGCGTGGGGTGTGTGGAATTTATTTAATGGCTGATCAAAAATCTAGTGAATCGGCTATTTTAAAATAATATGTTGTGTTGATTGGAGAGTTGCACAATTGCACATGTAGTAATTGAAAATATAATGCTCTGGAATCTCTGTCAAATTGCTGAATTTCATCTATAACAAATGGATAACTTTGAATAATAAGCCTGGATTATTTTACTTATTAAGAATAATTAATGCACAATACCATTTCAAAATAATGAAACTGTTGTATTGATGTATTATAATTAATCAATAAAACTTAATTGTAAAAAACAATTCATTGAATCAATATTGAAGATACATTTATTTCCCACAGTATCATTGAAAACTTAAATTAGAAAATATAATGACATATTCGCTATTTTCTTTTTTTTATTGTAAAAAAATATCATTGCCTGAGCATTAAGTTGTGAGCATGAGGCTGAGCCAGTGTAATAATAATGCTTGTATTAAACGCGTACAACTACCGGTCAAAGCAGAGTTTTCGCGCCACGTATGATATGAAAATTATGAACGAGAGCTGCAATTGGCGAGCGGACCAAGCATCCAGCCAACGAGATTCCAGCGTGACGTCACAATCGACCATATGACCTCTCTTGCATATGTGCACTGGACACTGGAAGCACATGGATTTGTTTTGATCTCTATTCTTGGCGATTTCTCATTTTTGCATTCGTTGGTGCTTTTAATTCGATAATAATTTTAGTTATCGTTCTTGTTTGCGCTGGCTACGATTTTAAAATTAGGAGACGCATACATAACTAACATTTTTCATGTTTTAATTTCTTAAAATTTTCATGCAAAACGTTTCCGTCTGAAATTTAAATTTATCGATAAAAGTGTGTTTATAGAATTTGATATTGTAAATAAGTTTCCATTGCCCTTCCACTAGGCTTGTAATTTAATTATGTTATTTTGATTGCTTCAGTACACCAAGCCAAATCCGGACAACTCGGAACTTTGGAAGGACGAAGATCCATTTTGGAAACCTAACCACTGGATAACCATAACCCAAAAATGTCAAAAAAGGCCAAGAGGTAAACATAATATATTCAGGTTTCAATTTGGCAGCGAGTCCTCTTTTGGGACGCCCGACGCCATAAAAACTTTTTGTTTTGGTTTTATTTTGGTTATGCGCGCGCTATGTAGTGTTCGATACATACATAATATGTATTTCCTGCTGGAGGGTCACATCTGCTGGATAAGTGGGAAAGCGGAAAATTTGAATGGGAATACGCTTACGCGGTGTAATTTTTGTAAAATTTGGGGGGGGGGTTCACCAGTGAATATACATACATATATTGTGAAAAAAAATTATAATTCCAGAAGTAACGACAGCGAATTAGATGTCCATCGTCTTGTGGAGATTGCCCGCGCAAAAAGATCAAAAGTGCAGAATCTGCCCTTCTGGAAAATAAATTTGATAAAATTTGATCCAAAGTTAGAAAAAATTAGAAAAAATTAGATCCAATATATGGTTAGAAATGCGATTCATGATGTTTCTGATAAATTATTTTTTCAAAGTTTTAAAATTTTTTTTGGTCCCAAAAAAATGTGCATGAAAAAATTAGAAAAAATTAGAAAAAAATTTGAAAAAATTCGAAAAAGTTTGATGCGAAAATTCGATAAAATTTAATGTTGAAATAAACATGGAATTTTTTATTTTTGATAATGAGTAATACAACCAACAGAGCCCAAACAAAAATTAACTGACGAAAAAGACACACGTACCGTAAATATGTTTGGATTTTAAGTTGAATGAGTGACCACCAGGCGTCGCTGGCTCAAAGTTTTGCTGCGGGCATGAGTGTTTGATGTATTCTGGGTTGATCGATGCGCACGTATTTTTATCATTTTTATACTGAAAAGTGTGCTTCAATAATAGGAATGTAAAAGTTCGCCACCGCCAACTCTTCTTTGAAATTATTAAAATTTGAAAAAATTTATCAAATTTTTTCTAATTTTATAAAATTTTTTCTAATTTTATCAAACTTTTTCTAATTTTATCAAACTTTTTCTAATTTTATCAAACTTTTTCTAATTTATCAAATTTTTTACATATAAAATTAAATTTTTTAATCTAATCTTCTTAAATTTGTGTCTAGAATTGTTGCTTCATTAAATTAAAATTTCATCCAATATTTAATAAAATATTTTCATCGCTCGTCCGACTCTCTAGCAAATTTTGGTGCTGTCAGCTCGGAGAAGCTTACGGTCGGAAACTCCACCACTTGTCCGCACCGATCTGGTTACTGCGTGCAGTGTAGGAAAACAAGTGACCGGACTTATCTAGTGGCCAACTGTCCCTCCCTGAAGTTTGCTCAGACGTAATGACACCAGGTGAGACCTTATGCATGTATTTGCATTGCTTTAGTAATTGACGTTTACGTTTTACAATAGTTATTTAATATATCTTGTAATTTCATCAAATTTTTTTTAAGTTTTACTAAATTTGTTTAGAATTTATTAAATATTTATAAAATTTTATCAAATTTTTCAAATTTTTTATCAGATTTTTTTCTAATTTTCTAATTTTTTTTTTAACAATTTGAGACACAAATTCAAGAAGATGAGAAAAAAAAATTTAATTTAATATGTAACAAATTTGATAAAATTAGAGAAAAATTTGATAAAATTTGAAGAAATTTGATAGAATTTGAAAAAATTTTATAAAATTTTATAAATATTTAATAAATTCTAAACAAATTTGGTAAAACTTGAAAAAAATTTGATGAAATTACAAGATATATTAAATAACTATTGTAAAACGTAAACGTCAATTACTAAAGCAATGCAAATACATGCATAAGGTCTCACCTGGTGTCATTACGTCTGAGCAAACTTCAGGGAGGGACAGTTGGCCACTAGATAAGTCCGGTCACTTGTTTTCCTACACTGCACGCAGTAACCAGATCGGTGCGGACAAGTGGTGGAGTTTCCGACCGTAAGCTTCTCCGAGCTGACAGCACCAAAATTTGCTAGAGAGTCGGACGAGCGATGAAAATATTTTATTAAATATTGGATGAAATTTTAATTTAATGAAGCAACAATTCTAGACACAAATTTAAGAAGATTAGATTAAAAAATTTAATTTTATATGTAAAAAATTTGATAAATTAGAAAAAGTTTGATAAAATTAGAAAAAATTTGATAAAATTAGAAAAAGTTTTAAAAAATTAGAAAAAATTTTATAAATTTTTTCAAATTTTAATAATTTCAAAGAAGAGTTGGCGGTGGCGAACCTTTACATTCCTATTATTGAAGCACACTTTTCAGTATAAAAATGATAAAAATACGTGCGCATCGATCAACCCAGAATACATCAAACACTCATGCCCGCAGCATAACTTTGAGCCAGCGACGCCTGGTGGTCACTCATTCAACTTAAAATCCAAACATATGTAGCGGTCAGCGGTTTCCCGCTGCCCACTACAAATCGTTTAGTCAAGACTAAACCACTCCACCACCCTGTGCTGCACCCTACAGCATTTACCCTGCAGCACTCCCATGCAATGTGAGCCCCACCCAACCACGTTTATTCTCGCGCCCCAAGCCAGCCATGGAGCGCGCGTCTCAATCGCTCACTCAACAAACCTTCGCCTGAACCCAACTTATGGGGTAAGAACCTTTCTGTGCAATTTCCCTCGACGGCAAAATGACCCGCCCAGTGAATAAGTGCATAATCACCGGCCCCGCCAGTGAATTTAACCCAAAACGCCGAACCTAAAACTGTTCGCCGGCTGAGCAATGCCGGCGCCTCCACTCAATTTACCAATACTCAAATAACATGTTTGTAATTCATTGTACTGATTGTATTATGTTTTTACAGTTCGAATTTCAACTTCCGATTCTAATACCAACACATCCTGAATGTACAACACCGCCTTACTACAATATACGAATTAAAAGAATCTTCTGGAGTTTAATTTAATTATTATTCTCCCTTTGTGTTGGCCAACCTGGCCCGTACAAAATGGTGACCCCGAACAAGATACCGAACGCGATGCTTCAACGCAGAATCGCCTTCAACACGATGCTTCAACGCAAAATCGCTTTCAACAAGATGCTTCAACGCAGAATCGCCTTCAACAAATCAAGCCATCGAGTGACAGAACCAACATACACATTCGGCAGACCGCCGAACGACGAGCTTTCGCCATGATGCCGTCACAACACCGCCAACACCAATGCTGTCAGCAGCCACGCCTCCTCACATGCAAGCAACCGTGGCCGCCGCCAAGGCCAAATCTTTGGACAGCAGCTGTCCTTCGAACCTACACTTACCAAGGATCGAACCTCTCCACAGAAGCCGTCAGACAACACTGCACCGCGCTTCCAAAAACTGTCGCTGCACCTACTCACAATTTTGCTCCACACGAGTTTTATGCAGAACTCTCGTCTGAATCAGAGCATACATCAGCGACGCCGACACGAGCCTTCAAACTCGGACCGACACGGCAAGTATGTGACCTGCAACCCACCGCGCAAACGAGACATAGCAGTTTCTCGTCACCTTTGGGGACACACCCTGTCGGACACACCTGAAAGAGCTGATCGGACCAACTACCTTCCAGCACGCCAAGTTCCCCCGGCTGGAATCAACCAACATACAGAACTTCCAAGTTCTCCTGTTTTTGGACTCAGCAAAAGTCCAACGCCTCAAATTCCTCGTTCACTCCAGCCTATACAAGAGTGACCTTCTCGCCAAGAGACAACTTCTCGCCAAGAGACACCTTCTCGCCAAGAGACACCTTCTCGCCCAGAGACACCTCACCAAGAGAAACATACTGAGAGTGACCTCCGGTCTCCAAGTGGGGGCCTATGTAGCGGTCAGCGGTTTCCCGCTGCCCACTACAAATCGTTTAGTCAAGACTAAACCACTCCACCACCCTGTGCTGCACCCTACAGCATTTACCCTGCAGCACTCCCATGCAATGTGAGCCCCACCCAACCACGTTTATTCTCGCGCCCCAAGCCAGCCATGGAGCGCGCGTCTCAATCGCTCACTCAACAAACCTTCGCCTGAACCCAACTTATGGGGTAAGAACCTTTCTGTGCAATTTCCCTCGACGGCAAAATGACCCGCCCAGTGAATAAGTGCATAATCACCGGCCCCGCCAGTGAATTTAACCCAAAACGCCGAACCTAAAACTGTTCGCCGGCTGAGCAATGCCGGCGCCTCCACTCAATTTACCAATACTCAAATAACATGTTTGTAATTCATTGTACTGATTGTATTATGTTTTTACAGTTCGAATTTCAACTTCCGATTCTAATACCAACACATCCTGAATGTACAACACCGCCTTACTACAATATACGAATTAAAAGAATCTTCTGGAGTTTAATTTAATTATTATTCTCCCTTTGTGTTGGCCAACCTGGCCCGTACACATATTTACGGTACGTGTGTCTTTTTCGTCAGTTAATTTTTGTTTGGGCTCTGTTGGTTGTATTACTCATTATCAAAAATAAAAAATTCCATGTTTATTTCAACATTAAATTTTATCGAATTTTCGCATCAAACTTTTTCGAATTTTTTCTAATTTTTTTCTAATTTTTTCATGCACATTTTTTTGGGACCAAAAAAAATTTTAAAACTTTGAAAAAATAATTTATCAGAAACATCATGAATCGCATTTCTAACCATATATTGGATCTAATTTTTTCTAATTTTTTCTAACTTTGGATCAAATTTTATCAAATTTATTTTCCAGAAGGGTGAAGCCTTTGAAAGAACTTGTTTTGAAAAAGATAGCGGACAGCGATGAATGTGCACAAACCTCTCTCAAACCATTTCACTACCTCTGTAAGTAAATTAATTTATTCTATAAATCGAAATCCATGTATGTATGATTTATATTTTTATGTCTAATTACATACTGAATGTTTGATGTTTGATTACAGCACCTATGATGAAGAAGGAAATCTTGAGTCACATGGCATCCCAACAAGGATCAATTGACGAATATCAGACCCAAGCCATGGCCAACTGGATGTTTGAATTGGCAAGCCATCTCTTGGATGTTCACACAAAGGAATTTGACTTCAGCATCTTTGGAACTAGATGCGCCTGGGAATACATTGAGCGCGACCAGAAAGTGTGGCAGATGCTGGCCGACAAGTGTCCAAACTTGGAGAGCATCTTGGATAAGCGCCGGACTGCTATCTGGTTAATCGATAACAACCCGGACAATGACATAGAGTGCAACAAACTCTACATGCGTAACATGCTTCCGTACCTACGGAAATTCCCAAAATTGGAACATATTTCCCTGATAAAGTATATTTGCGACTCTGAAGACTTGGCGCAGCTTGCTTATCACTGGCCGAATTTGCTGACTTTGTCTGTTGCCTTTGAATTCGTCGACTCTGACACTCTGAGAAATTTGTTTCATTTTCAAAAACTGGAACATCTGGAAATTGAATGGAGCAAATTTGATATCTGGAGTATTAAGAATGAGGTATTTCCTAATATTTTAGATTTTTAAAACATTAACATTTTTTATTCTTACAGTTACTTTACAATGAGCAGTTCCTCTACTTAGAGCGCTTCAAATCGGAATGCATGGAGCACCTGCCGAACTTGCAGTACCTCTCAGGAGGCGCAGAATTCCACAACGAACTGCCATACCAAGGCAAAAGAAAACTCGCCTTAAGAGAAATTGACGTTTCGGTTGGCTTCAACCTTGAACTTGTCCCCTTTTTGGAAAAACTGAAAGTGACAGGACCAGGTTTTGAAATTCCAAGCCATACTTTTGGTAATCTTACCAATCTAACTGTTTTGATTTTGTACGAAATGAAAGATTCTCATATTTCTGATGTGCTTACTCACTGTGGTGCCAGGCTACACGAACTTGTCTTAAACGAATCAGTTTATGAAGCTGGCTTGGACCTTTACGAGTTAGTCTTTAAGTGCCAGCAACTACGTACACTTAAAATTTCTTCGTGTGATCTATCCGTGAAAGAGAGCAATTTTAAATCTCAAGTGAATGGCAAGCATTTTAAAATCATCAGGCATTTTTTGTTCAGAAATTACAAAGAGGACCATGAATGTGAATTTCCGTCTGATTTGATTCTCCTTTTATTTGGGGCACCAGAATTGGAAGAATTAGCTATTTTACATGCCTTTACTCTTTGCTCCACTGACCTGTCGTATTTAACTGAGCAGCTTCTTCAAGGACGCATCTTGAAAAATTTAAAGTTATTCGAGTTTGATTGCAACATTGAAAACTCCATCTATTGCGATGATTTACTTAAATTCCTCTGCCTCCTACCAGCTCATGCTCCTAAACTCCAAAAAATGCAAGGAGAAAGTTCTAGTGAAGAATTTCATGAGTCATTTAAAAAATCTATTCTGTATAATGATCTAATTATTGATGGTTTTAAATTTTTTATAGGATGGTATGAATATGATTCTTTTTATGATTCAAGTGATAGTACCGAATGATACATCATCAAAAGATGTAATCATTTTACCAATTATTAAAATGCATGCAAAATATTAAAGCATCTATGATTACTAAAAAAATGTAAATCGATCTTTTGCTCTGACCATGACATGAATGACTTATGGAAATAAAAGAACAGTTCATAATTCATAATAAACTTTTATGGCATGAATAATGTTATTAATTATGATGCATAATATTCCTACTAAACAATTAATTAAGATATATGTTGGTTAGCATTAAATTAAATAACTGAGTATTCCTCTGGCCTCGTGCCTTGCAACCCAACAATATAGAGCTGCTGCTTCTCTACCTTGGATCGGTGGCCGGTGGCTGCTCTAGTGAAAATTTTTCTCAACCTCTTTATTATTTGTGATTTTTACGCCTTTTTACACTTACACAAAAGCACAACGACTCACGAAATCCGATCAATCACTGCCTGACAATTAAAAAAAGTGGCTTCTTGTTTGAAATTTTTTGACAAATGAGGAATCTTGAGTTGAAATAAAAATTTGGCAAAAAGTGTCATTTTTAATTATACGACAATTAGCATTAGCAGCAAAGTTAGTGAATTGATCAATAATTTAATTTAGAAAAGGCTGTGCTTATTGTTCCAGCATTACAAATGACACATTGCCAAGCTCATATCATCATGTCAATACTATATATAAAAAAAACTTTCAGAAATTCCAAAGAAGGCACTTTTTGTAACAAGAAAAAATATTGTGTTCAATTATATTTGAACCCGTTCTTGTGCACAATGCGTGGCTCATCTTTTGTAAATGGATTTCAATCAAATATTGAAAATATAATGGTGTTGCAGAGATAATAAATAAAAAGCAATTCTTTGAACTATCACATTATATTGATCTATTCATGCAACAGAAATTAATGAATACAATTATAATAATACAAATTATTAGTCAAAAGTTTTCACAAAATGAAAAATATATTAAGAAGAATTTTCTGTGTGATTTAAATCAACTCAATTAGGCACAAACAAGGAACCTGCCACGAGTTGGTGGGGTTTTTTTTACACAGGGGACATCAGCCTTGCATACCTGCCGCAGTACCAATTGTAGTTTTTGCGCTTGTTTATCTGAGGGCCGCGAGTTGCTTCCATTTGCAAAGTTTTTGGCTAAAGAAATAATGCTTCCTTTACGATAATCCCAGGATTCTTCACTTCCAAAAAGGAGCCCAGGCCTGAGCTTGGTATATCAAAAGCAGTCAGGGGGTAGCTGCTGATGGCGTTAAGGGGCACTGCATCACCGAGACTGTCTTCATGGCATTCAGCAAACGCCAAGCCACCGGATGGTTTGCCGAATGAATGGCATTCGGGTTGCGGCGCAACTCCTCGATGATCTCTGCAGCGTCTTTTGCTGGCATCACCATTTCTATGTTCTACAGAAGAGGAATAAAAAAAAGTAAGAGAGCTCTTAGAGCTTGGAATGTGTAAGAAATTATTACCCTTGCCATGGCGTACTGTGCAGCAGTGGACACTCGAAAGTAGGCAGTGACAAACACTTTGAAGCAATCAAGATGCCTCTCACCACAATCAAGCAAGAATGGCAAAGCTGCTGCCAAGTTGTTTCTTGCTTTTTCCAAGACCTGCAGTCCCGAAACTTGGAAGGACATCTCCAGCACTTTGAAGAGTGACGAGGCTGCTGCCAAGGAGCATTTAGGCACTGAAGTAAAAGGAACAAAATTAAAAATTATTCCAATTTAAATGAAAAATATAAACAAACAATAAAGCTTGAATTTTTTTGAAAACATTATTGCTTGTTATTATTTGAAGAATATTTTACTTTTTTTTTTAAATAAAATCTAAAGCTCACAGTTTCTGGCAGACAATATCACATTTTCGGGGTTGTCTGCATGAAGCGTGTGCATCATTTCAAAGTTGAACGAGCGAAAGTCGTCCCCTTTCGCCATCATTAAACTGGCTTCGAGTTTCTTCTCCAAGCCAATGCTTTTGATGCACTGTCCTGTGATGCGGTCAATCATGCTGCTTTTCTCAGCGTTGCTCAAAGTTGGCAGGAACACCATCAGACCTCGCAACACCCTTTTTGAAAAAAAAAAAAAAAAAAAAAATGAAAAATTTTGGTTTTAAATAACGTACTAAAATGAGGAGATATGGACTCACAGGTACCACGGTAGTTTGCTGTCATCAGGGAGAGTCCCCTTGTCCAAGACCAGCTCTGGGTACAACAGCATAAGCGCTTTAGTCAAAATTAATGCGCCAGCATAGTCATCACCCTCATGAGGCTGTTCAGCAATCACACGTAGCCTGGGCAAAAATCACATTGTAATACAGGTGCACTTTATGAAAAATAAAAAACCTGCCAGAGAGAAAATATATGAAAAATATCAATAAACTTCGGTTTTATGACTTTTATGATATAATTAATACTTTTCTTTAATACATATTTGGGAAAACTTTGAAAAGTCTTGTTGGTTGGCACATATTTACTTAAAAATGCAGTTTTTTGTTCCGTCTTACGTTCATTACAAAGAACACTATTTAAATGTTCAAAATTACAAAAAGGAATTTAAAAAAAAAGTTTCAGTTCTATAATCTTGGAAAGGATTTTGGGTTTTGAGCGCTCAAAAATTAAGAGGTTTTCTGATGAAAATCAACCAAAACACTCACTTTTGGATGAGGCGGTCGTCGCTCTGCTTTTGGGCGACGGGGTCGCTGAAGTTCAGCCTCGCTCCTTTGTTGCCGCGGCTGCGAAGAACCTCATCTGAAAAGTGCAAGCTCTTTCTAGACGACTGCGGATTTTGCACTGGAACAAAATTAACACAAAAGATTAGAAATCACTGCGAAAAACAAAAATCTCAATTTTAAGATGGTCTAATAAGCTGATTTTATTTTCTATTGACGAGACTAATCATAATATCAAAATGTGACGCATTTAAGGTAATAAAATAATATCTACCCACCAGTAAAGCACTTTAGCCACAATAAAGAAAAAAATCTTGCTACCAGCAAAAATCATTATTATCTAACTTAAAATGTCCACTATCTTATGTGACGGAAATATTTGAGTTACTGCATCAGTCCGTTATTTCTAAATTAAGATTTGAGTTTGGAATTTTCAAAGGACTAATTTTTAAATTTACATGTTTATGCAAAGATATATTTGCAAAACAGGCGCCTAGTGAGTATTTTATTTGTCATGATTAACGCAGCGATTGCATTCTGTGATCGATCAATATGTATGCGCAACTAAAGAGTTGAGTGAAAAGCAAAATTTCCAGCACATTTCCAGACATTACAAGGTCAAAATATTATCTTCATTGTCTGGTGAGATGGAACCAACCAACAAAATCTCAATTTGAAATCGCGTTAATAATGCACGCACTGGAGAAAGAATGTGGAACGAATTTGTGATGCCGCCCGCGGCAATATATTAATTGGGGGTCATTTGTGCATTTCACAGGAAGTGCGTTGCGCGCCTTCCACTTTCAAGCATTTCTCCTTTTCCTCTCTCGCAGCGGGTGTCCCATTTTGCTTCAAATTTGCTATCAAGATTACCTGCCCAATGATGCAGAATCCATTCTCATTAGCCCATCATCTAACACAATGCGCGCGTTTTCCTATGGCACTCGCCTAAAATATGAAGTCAAATTCCCAAGAAGCTTTCAGCGACCTTAAAAAACGCAATCGGAAAATAATTTCATTATTTCACAGTTATTTGCTGAAGAGATCAGTCTATTTATTGTTGAAAGATTGCTTTTCACTCGAAAACAAAAAACATTATGGCTTAACTAGTTTAGGGCAAAGTCTGCGACCCCCTTTTAACACAAGCCAGAAAAAAAGAGGGAAATTTTATTACAGAGAGACAAAAAAAATTAAATCTCAAATCTAACAGAATCAAATATCGATTTAATTCTGCATTTAGGCGGTTTCCTCTTGGTTTTGATTTTTGATCTTATTTTGATCTATTTTGATAAAAAAAAAACTAATTAAAATCCCATAAACACTTTGAAAAACCGAGCAGAGATGCCAATTGGAATACAGAGCGTAGAAATGAGTATTGAGAGGAGATGACAGGCGGCACCCCTGCCTCCAGCCGCCCCCGGCCTGAAGTGTTCTCGGCCAGCGTGCCTTTTGCTTCAGGGTGGTCAAGATCTGGAATGACCTGCCATCACTCCCTTGGCACGCAGTTTTTTAGTTTTTTTTTCTTTTTAAACCAGCCGCATCTCTTTCCACGTTAGGCGTATGAGGTTGTGAAAATCTTTCTTGTCAATTTGCAGAGGCATCGAGAAGATTATAACGAGAAGAATATCACTAATTCAACGCCGGTTTGTGAACAAGCAGCACAAAAATGCTTCTATCGGATAAAAATTTGATGCAAAAATCTCAGCAAGTGGGATTAAATTGAATCAAATTTACTATATATATTGTCAGAAAATTTGCAGCTCGCAAACTCTTTTATCAACATGATCAATCAATTTGTAAAGGACTACCAATTTCTAGGTTGCGATTTTCTTTAAGCCGAGGTGAAGATCGGGGAAATATTTTCACATGAGAGGAATTTGAATTGCAGCTGGCAAGAAACAGATGTGTTTGCGCATAACACAGGACGTCGATTTGCTTTTGCGACGCAGAAACAAAGAGAGTGAGAACAAACAAAATGCACCATGACAAGATTATTATTTGCCTCGCGGTCACCCTGCTAAAAATGCGACTGTGTGGAGATTTGAATGCGCAGTGAAGGAACGCTAAAGTCCTGCCTTAATTTTTCTTAATTTCTTAATTTTCTTAATTTTTCTGAACACAAACAGCAAGAAACTTGCACAATAAATCCCAAATTTATTGCAAAGCTTGATTGTTTTTCAAATTATTATTCATGTAACATTGAAATATTTTCAGAACTATTTTATCTTGTAAAAACCAGAGAGAATTATATCCGGTAGTAACGTAAAAAAAGATAAATCTGTTGCAAAGGAGGAAGGAAATCTTTTTTTCCCCATTTAATTTCATTATTCTAGAAACTGATTTGCGTGGAAAAAATTTGTTCAAGTCAAAAGAGATAAATATTAAAACAGAATCGTCTCTGAAGAGTAAAACGAGAATTATTAAAAAATAAAAGGCCTCGCGAATGTCATTGTGGCATGAATACTTTTGCGGAAAGGGAACGTTATTTAAAGATATGCCCAAATTTTTTAGTTTATTTGGCAAACACTAAAAATACATAATTCAATGCCCGCCCACGCGGCCAAATCAAAAGCAGAGGAGGAGAAATAAGAGTTGTTTTACTTATTGCGGTGATGAAAGATGTCCAGTCGGGGTAGATTCGACACGGTTAAAGGGTGCAATCTGTTGAGGGCAGCAGTGAAAAGCGGCAGGTCAGCTAAGAAGTATCAAAATGCGAGACGATGTGCAGCAAGAAGCGCTTCCCACAAAGGTGCAATCTCCACTATCTCCTATCTCCAGTGAGCCGCAGCTAGTCGGCGACGCCGGCGTGGTTTGCCTGCGACGGCGCCCCCTGCCCGCCTTCTCCCATCCCCCTTCGCCGCTCCGACCCTCTCAGGTTAGTCACACGCGCGCGTTCAAATATTTTAGTTAATTCCATTCAGACTGAATTTTTATCCGGAACATGAATTGTTTTGGCAAAATTCAATGACGTCAATAATAATTTAATAACATCATACTTACTGAACATTCCTTTGTTAAAAGTTAATTGAGTTATTGATTGAAAGAGTTATTTCAGTTATTTGAGAGAATAATTTTGTTTAAATTTAATTTCTTGCTCAAGAAATAGGTCGCAGTCAATTTATTGAAGTGGCAAAGAGCTTTTTTGTATTATGTTTAAATCCCGGTTTGATACTTGAAACGAATGATATGATTTTATAGCCATCTCATTTATATGAAATTTCCGATAATTTAGATCTACCTACAGATTTTTCTGCCTTTCCATTATTTTTTAACTTCGACTGTTCACTAAAACAGTTTGTTCCAGATAAAAAAAAATATCAGTTTTTAACTTTTTTATTTAAATATTTAAAAAAGTTAGCTCATCAATTTCATTTAAGAATCATATTTTTTTTATCTTCAGTTAAAATAATTCTTATAATACGCTCTTGAAATTCTGTCGTGTCCGATGGGACGTCTCTCCTTCTTTGGCAGGGACCGCAACCTGGCCGAAAACGACACCACCCTGGCCAGAACCAGCGGCTGCATTTGGGCTCCGAAGTTCGTACTCTGATTTTTACCATACCACCTTGTTTGGGTAAAAAATTATGGCTCGACTTTTCCAAATTAGGTAATTTCCTTATCGACTAATTTATTTCATGGAAAGTTGGATTCAATGATTTTTTTTCTATTTTGAACGTTGATTATCCTGGTGATTTGAATTTAATGACGGCATCTCCTTGATGGGTTTAGGTGAGTTGTTTATTGTTAAAGAAAAAAGATGCCCCGAATCACAACAAATTGGCTATAAACGCGCAAAAAACAAATCATGTTCTATCGACTTTGAGGGCGCCGCGAGAAAAATTACAAATAGAGAGTGGCGGCCGAATAAATGGCCATGGTGGCGATCGGCAATCAGCCAGCCGAGTTTGACGGTTGAAAAAATCTGGTATAAGCCCATCAAGGCGGCGAAGCATTATTTCACAGAAAAAAGCAAGTGTGCGTGGCTCGCCAAGAGGGAGGAGAAGAAAATCAGCAACAGCAGCCCCTCGGCCTCGCTTGCCAGGAGAAAGAAAAAGAGTGCCGCGGGGCCTACTACAAGTGCACAAAAGAGCAAAAACCCACAGCCCACAGGTATCAGCTTAGGCCGCGCACAAAATAAAGAAATATGCAGACAGCAGAGGCGACATACGAATACAATGCAATTCAAGAAAATATCTTATACCTAAAAAACGAACTGAAAAATACGAAAAATAATTTAATCTTCTCGCCACCACCGCCGAGAAAGGTACACTCGAAACACACGTTTCAATATTGTGACCAAAATTGTTATAATAATAATTTGTTTTTCAAAATTTCTTGAATTAAATGTCAATTATTATGTTAAAAAATGGGTTAGATTGACTTGATGAAATATTATATTATAACTAAAAAGTATTTCAAAAGAAATTATTTCATAATTAAGATTTGATAATATATTACAACTTAAAAGATTTTTCAAACGAAATTATTATTTCATAATTTAAAAAAATAGCTTATATTGGACCCGAGACCCACTGCGACCGGCCAAGACCGACCAAGACCAGCCGAAAACCACTGAGACCGCTCTAGACCCACCGAGACCAATGTGGAACATAAAGTTACAAAATTTCCGAGAGCGGTTGAGACCGATTGAGACCCACCGATACCAATGATCTCGACCGGTCTCAAGCACGGTCTCGATGGGTCTCACGTTTTTTTTTCAATTTTTCAAATTTCGCAGAGCGCGACCAGTGCAGTAATCTAATCGCAGCGCGCAGAATTGGTTGCGCTCAACAAGGACGACCAGCAAAGAGCGCGCAGCAGGCGAAGTAGGTCTAAAAAAAAGAAGTAGGTCTATTGTCTCACGTCCGACAAGGGTATACAAGCTGCTGTTGATGGCCGACGAGCTGTTCTCGCAGGGCATCTCCATACAAGGGCTTCAAATGCATGGGGTCATGGCATCAATGAGGGTGGCCCTGAGCCCACAGCGCCGCCGCAGAGTTCTGCCACTTAGGGTGTCTGCTCTGGATTCGAAGGCGCCGGGGAGGTGATCACGTCGAGGTGAAGCAGCGGGACACCTGGCTGACCCCCTTCAAAGACTTTGACAAAGATTCGATTATTTCAAGAATGCTAACTACTTGTTCATTTGATAATCAACCAAGAAAATATTTATCAAATAAAAAAACCCGATCTTAGAAACTTTCGTTTCAAGAGACGCCTGCGAGCTTCGAACGTTTGCAACCCGCTCAACGCTGACGTCCGCCCGGTTGCTTTCAAATCGACGATTATTTCATGAGTGTTTATTGAGTTTAATGTGGACTGATTTTTCTTCTCATGAGTTGAATTTATCGGAATTTATTTCAAGTAAAATTATTTTTGTCGCATGAGTGAGCGACCGAACGTTAAATTGAGCCGGACTGAGATTTACTTCGGCCCACAAAAAAGTAACAAATTCTGAGAAAAAGTGGCAAAAAATAAAAGAGGAAATCAATTCAGAAATATTGGATTTAATTGAGGGAAAAGGTGGAATTCTGATAATTATTTTCTTTTCCTTTTTAATAATTAATATGCAATAAATAGTTTCAAACTATTGAGTGAGAAAAAAAAATAAAAAATTAAAGAGCAGAAGGAAATTTTTTGAGATTCAATGGATAAAAAACATTCTTATTTTTTTTTTTAAAGAAAATTTGACATTGAAATTTTAATCTTTAATATATATTGAGTTCAATTTATTAAAGATCACCATACCTACTGGGTGACATTAAATTCATAATTTGATTTTTTATTCATGGCTTATGCTTATCTTATACGTCTCCTAGGATATCATACGAAACTCGCGTAATTTTAAAAAATTGCAATAACAGAGGTTAAATAATAATTCTTGAAATTTTAAGCAACGCTTTAAAAAAAAATACTCAAATTTCAAAAATATATTTTTTTAATTTTTGAAATTTTTATTTACCTCAATTTACCATAGTATTCATGATTTAGTGTTGGTTTGTTCATATTATAATGATTCAGAGACACTTTTATAAAATAATGTACGCATGATTATTCATTGTATCACTCACCCGTTTAACATTTAATTCTTTTATTAATTATACGCGTTTGCGTTTGCATACAACTGGAGCAGCACTAGAAAAAGAACATTCATACAACACCTAGCGGTGGAAACACACATGCACTTATTTGGACTGAATTTAATTTTGAATTACTAAGAAAATCACAAAAAGTTAAAGCTCCGCTAATTTAATCAGAAAAACAAAAAAAAATGTGAAAATACCAATATATCCACACCAAACAAGCAAGTTTTCGCGCCGCTTGTTGAGTTGTTGAGCGAAGTGTGACGTCACCATGGCTCCACCATGTGTCTTTGTTATGATGGTTTTACCTCCGTTTGGTTATGTAATCAGCGAGCAGAATTTTGTAATTCTGGCGGCGTCTGCGTTAAATCGCATGCAAAGGAAAACTTAATTGCATCGGGAAAGGTGAGGGCTAATGATTTATTGATTAATGATCTCCGCCCTGTTCGCGAGGGTAGAAATTTTTTGAGCTTCCACACAGCCGCGGCTCTAAAAAAATGTTTTTTAATATTTCTCAATATTAAATTTGCTACTTTTAATTTATTCTGAGAAGTTTGAAAATGTTCTCATGCCATTCGTTCTCTAATTAATTCGTATTTTTCACGCAGATCAACACTGAAAGATGTCTAAAAGGAAAAGTACGGGAATTGCTGCAGTTAAAGATGACGAAAAGAAACCAAAATTGGACAGCTTTGTGGCCACCCGTCGACAGTCGGCGCGCAGAAGTACGGCCAAGGCGCAGGAACTCATCAAGAAACAGGCTGCTGCAGACTCAGAGGACGAGGAATTGTCCCTTTTGGACTCTGATGACGAATTCGTCATTCCCACAGGAGGAAAGGACGAGCGAAGCAATGGGTTGGTGGTCCAGCCTGTCAACAGCTTCCTGTCCTCAGAGTCGGCTGACAGCTCGGAGGACGAAAATAAAGGAGCCAACCTGAAGGTCAACCACAGGAAAATCAAAACCATAAAGCCTAAAACTGAGCCGCTGGCAAAGAAGTCTTCCAGAAGCGTCCTGAGTTCGGACTCGGAGGAGGATTTTGAAGATGTGGTGGCACCTCCCTCACCTAAAAAAACCACCGAATCAAAGATTTTGGCCGAGGTCTCAACATTAACAGACTCCGAGTCTGACCTGGAAGATGTGCCAACTCAAAACCTCCAAGAGCTCTTCCCTTTACTTGCCAAGCAAGAGGAGCTGAAGGCTATGGAGAAAAAGGTCAAAGAAGACGGGGACAAAAAGTTAAAGAAGTCGAAAGTTCAAACTCTGGACGTTTCTCAACTGCTGGCCATGGGAGAAACTCAAGAGCCGGTCCCTTCGACCAGCAAGTCAGAAACAAAAAGTAAAAAATCTGCAAAAACAAATAAAAAGCTGAAAGTTGATTCGGACGAGTCGGACTGGGAAGAAGTCGAACATGGGCCTGAACAAACCATTCCTAAGGAGGGAGTGGAGGTGAAAATCGAGACGACAAATGGGCTGAAGAGGAAGAAGACCAAGACCATGGACTTGGAGGCCATCATCAAGAGGAGGATCAACCAAATTCGCAGGGAGAAGCAGGTGGAGCTGCACAAAGCGTCTCTCCTGTGCCATTTGAGCCATGGAATGGTCGTAAACAAGCAGCTCAACTCGCCCTCGTTGATGGCCGTGGCTTTGTCCATCTTGCATTCGCAGCACTGCTACCCACCCAAGAAGAGTGATCTGAATTACCTCGAGAAGATTGCCTCTTGGTTTCACAAAAAGGTTTTTTTTTCAATTTTGTCATCGATGAGAAGTTGATTAAAAATATTTTGATTTTTTTAGGTTTCGGTGGCAGATGTGAAAGATGACCCTGATAAGACTTTGGTCCAGCTGTTGGAACTTGCTTTCCAGGTAATGAAAGCTCCAAACAAAAGGATTCTCGTCCTCATGTTTGTGACTTTGATGCGTTCGCTCGGCCTCAAGACCAGGCTCATCATCTCTCTTCAGCCACTTCCATTGAAACCAAAGCCTCAGGATCTACTCACAGTTTTGCCAAAGCCAGAAGTGAAGCTTGGAGACAAGAAAAAGCAAAGTATCGAGGCCAAGAAGACAAATGAGAAGACTTCGAAGGCAAATGAAAAAGCTCCGAAGAAGTCTAAAAAAGAAGTCAAATCCAAATCTGGGCCGCCAAAATCAAAAAGGTCCAAAAAGGAAAGAGAGAGCAAGTATTTCTCTTCAGACAAATCAGAGTCGAGTCCTGACGTTTCTCAGAAATTAAAATCGCTGAGAGCAAGGAAGAACAAAAAGTACGAAGAGGAGTTGACGGAGGAATCTGAATCTGATGATCACATGCCAAAAACAACAAAAGGAAAAAGAAAAGCAAAAGTAGGACATAACGACAAGGAAGATTTCAAGCCGCAGGTTCTGAAAGTTGTGAAAAACTCGAGAATTGCAGTCAAAGACAGGAGGGTCCTCTCTTCAGAATCAGAAACACCAAACTCGCCTAAACCATCAAAAATGGGCAATGATTTCTGGGTAGAGGTCTTTGCCGAGATGGAGGAAAAGTGGATTTCGATCGACGTTATTACTGGAAAAGTGCATTGCGTCGAACACCTGCACGTGAGAATTAAAAAATTTTACTAACCGACTAAAACTCTTATTTTTTCAAAATTAATTTTCAGTCAAAAGCAACTTCACCTGTCCTCTATGTGATGGGATTCAACCAAAACAATGCGATTCGAGACCTGACTCGGCGCTACTGCCCCCAGTACCACACCTCGACTCGCAAGAATCGAGTTGACCAGGAGTGGTGGGAAGAGGCCATTGTACCATTTTACGGAAAGAAAACTGCTGTTGACAAAGAGGAGGAGGAGGAATTGGAGAAGCAGCTGCAAGACCGTCCAGTACCTAAAACCTTATCCGAGTAATTTGTACAAATTTAAAAGTGGGAAAAGTTACTAAACAATCACTATTCAGGCTCAAGAATCATCCTCTCTACGTCCTGAAGAGGCACTTGCTCAAGTACGAAGCGATTTACCCACCCGATGCTCCACCCCTTGGATTCTTCAAAGACGAGCCAATCTACGCCCGGGAGTGTGTTTTCATTCTGAGGTCCAGGGAGACTTGGGTGAAAGAGGCCAAGGTCGTCAAACCCAAACAGGAGCCGTACAAAGTCGTCAAGTCTCGACCAAAATACGATAGGGTGCGTAACACTTAATAAATATTTTCTGTTAAAGTATTGATTTGAAAATTTCGATTGTGAAGATGAGTGGTCAGATGCTGGAGAGCCAACCTTTGGAGATCTTTGGCCCCTGGCAAACTGAGGACTATGTCCCGCCGGCAGCCGAGGATGGAAAAGTTCCTCGCAATGAGTACGGAAATGTGGAACTCTTCAAGCCCTGCATGCTACCCAAAGGAACAGTCCATTTGAAGTGTAATTTTTTCCATTTTAGTTGCGATATTGAATATTAAATCTTGGTTGTTTTACTTTTTAGTGAGTAACTTGAACAGAATTGCCAAAAAGCTCGGCATCGACTGTGCTCCTGCCATGACTGGATTTGATTTCCACTGCGGAGGCAGTCACCCTGTATTTGAAGGCTTTGTTGTTTGTGAAGAATTCAAGGACATGCTGATCGACGCTCACCGTCAAGTAAAATTTTTATATTTTTTTTTCTCCTGCATTAAACACATATGTCTCTAGGAAGAGGAAGAAAGAGAGAAAAGGGGTGAGGAAAAGCGGTTGAAACGAATCTACGGAAACTGGAGGAAACTTGTGAGGGGTCTGATGATCCGAGAGAACTTGATGAAAAAGTACGACTTTGGCCAAGAGGCAGCTGAAGAGAAGAAAAAGTCAAAGAGCTCAAAGAAGGCAGTGGCATCCACTTCCAAGGTGCCTCTGAAGCAAAAACAGCCAAGCAAGAGGAAAAAAGACAGTGATGATGAGACCTCTGATTCCTCTTAAAAGGTCTGTCTTTACTCATTTTGCAAGAATTTATCCTACAAAATCAAAGCAATCAAATTATATTTGAAAGCTAAATCATTCCTTTGTGATGAGTATTTCAATATTTTCATTATTTCTTGAAGAAATGTTGCAGTATTTTTCCTGATGAATTTAACAAAAAAAAATTTGGAAACATCGTCTTGTTTAATCATTTGTAAAATGGAACAAGCAAAAATAAAATGTAACAATTTTTCCCAGTACTTAAATTTTGATATTTAATTCTGCCACAGTTTTAAAAAATTAGCTCAAATTTAGAGTTGAATTAGCAGCTGAAGTAAAAAAAAATCAAATGAAAAGTTGGCGTTTATTTTTCTATTGCTATTGAGAGCATTATTTAAATTAATGTTTGAATGATAAGTTCATTTGCAAGTTTTGCTTCTCATATTGTCTTAATGGCTCATATTTTTCAGCGAGTCATATTCCTTAAATATCTTAATTAGAGGCTTTTATTTTTTACGGTTAAAGAAGAGAACGTAAATTTGATTAAATATGTAGTTTTTATTCATGAACAACACGAGTACACAGAAAATATAATATTGATTTTGATTACTCCGATGGCATATTGATTGAAAGAAATGCACATAAGCTACGATCTATAGTTTACCCTGATTAAGAGTAGCCACTGTTAAAAGCGCAAAAATGGAGTTAAATTTAAATGAACATCTTATTGTCGATACTGTCACATATTGCAGATAACAAGTTAGTCTTTATTGATCAAACCACACAAATCGAAAATCTTGAAAACAACACTTGAGTGCAGATATTTGAGCTCCCTGCCTTTCAGTTGTTGCTTGTAAAGATTCATTAGAACTTCTGTGGTCTTCCGACGTGGGAATACTTAAAATAATGCCCAAGCGGCATTTTTTCAAGGCCCAATTTACAAGAAATTCGAGCACTGCAAAAGTATCTTCCCTTGAAATAAAATTGCAGTGCTCTGCAAGGGCAAGATTCTATCAAAATTAGGGATGTATGGAGTTTTGGAATCTCGCCCCCACGCTAGGACGGTTGGATAAGGGACTAAAATCGTCAATTTTCTACGCCCGCATCTACCCCAAAATTTGCATTTACCCCCAGTAGTGTCTGATACAGATCTTCTCCAACTTAATTCTCAGATCGCTTTTATTAAAAAAATCTAGCTAATGAAAATCACAGTATTTTTCGTAATGATTGCCAACTGTGAAGTTTAAAAAATAGAGAGCAGAAGAAAGAACGTCGAGATTAAAATATATTTATAAATCTTACAAAATTTGAAAATTCTGCCCAACAGATTTTTGATCATCCTTCGATGAACCCTTTTGCCTCTTTTGCCTCTCAAAACCTTAAAAAAACTGTAAAAAAATTAAGCCATGGATAAAACTCCAGCGCCCATTCCATAGCCCACTCCCTTGGGTCCGTAACGGCGGCCGTAGCAAGATTTGCAGTAAATATTTCCGTCGGGGCTATCATTGAGGGTTGTCGAGTCCAGAGAGCGGTTGCAGTCGCCACAGGTGAAGCAGCGACGGTGCCAAATCTGCAATTCCAATTTAAAATTAACCAAAAATATTTCCATTCCTGGCTTTATAGTAAAATATTCTAAAATACTCCGCAGTAAAATTATTGAGTATTTGAAATTTATCAAATTGAGGAGTGAAAATAATGAATAAAATAAATTGAAGGTTGAAATTACTCTATTTTTGCTGTTCATCTGTTCAGCTGCATAGACCATCTGGCCACACCTGGGGCAGCCCTGGCCTTCAGGTGCCTGTGGGCCACTTCTTTGGACGTTGGGTCTGAAAATCTCAAATTGAATATAAATTTTATTAAAAAGGATTTCAATTACCTTGGGGCAGTGCTGGTCTCACTGGCAGAGAAAAGGGTTGGGGAGTGGCCGTAGCCGAAGCCCTTGGGGCCAAAGTTCTTTCCGTAGCACGCCTTGCAGTAGATCTCCTTGTCAGGGCCGTCGCAAGCCAGGATCGAGTCCAAAGGACGGTGGCACTGGCAACAGTTGAAGCACTTCTTGTGCCACATCTGATGATCAAAATTTATTTTTATGACAAACAACTTCATTTGTTATTAGATATAAAATCGTACAGTGCCCTTGGCCAGCTGCTGCTCGGCAGCGTAGACCATTCCTCCGCAGCGAGGGCACCCCTGACCTTCGGGGGCTTTGATGGAGGTCGTGTTGGGGTTGTAGAAGGGACGCAGCTGAGAAATTTGCGCCTCGCTGAAATGAATTGAAATAAAATATTTGGAATTTTTTTAATTTAAAAAAGAAACGCACTTCAGGCCATCGGTCTGCAAAAATCCAGAGCCGCAGGCAAACCCATAGCCGTGGGGACCCCATTTCTTGCCATAGCAGGTCTTGCAGTAAACGTCCTTGTCAGGGCCGTCGCAGGCAAGAACTGAGTCCAGGGTCTTGGTGCAGTCGCGACACTTGAAGCACTTGCGGTGCCACATCTGTAAAATGAAAGTTTTTTTTAAATTTGATTTTAGTAAAATAATTGTAGAAAATTTTATTTTTTTTTCTATACTTCATAATTTTATGTTTATATTTTTAATAATTTTTCTAATTAATTTATTTTTGATATATTAATTTTTGTTTCTTTTTAGCATTTTGATTTTTAAATTAAAATTTTAACCACAGTTACAAGAATGCTTAAGAAAAAAATAAAATAAAATAAATATTTAATTTTTTTTTTAATTTTTACTCTGACCTTTAATTATTAATCCCTTTTTAATTATTTAATTACTATGCTTGCTTGTCATTAATTTTTAAGTAGATGTGCCAACTTTCAAACTATTTTTTTTTTTTTTTTTAATTAATAACTTTAACTCACGCTGCCCTTGGCGAGGACTTGTTCGGCGGCGAAAACGGAGCCTCCGCAGCGGGGACATCCCTGGCCTGGGGGCGCCTTTATGCTGGTCGTGTCCACCAAAGTAGTCTTGGGGGCGACGGGGGCGTTCGCGCCATCCTCCATCAGCACGTCGCACTGCAGGGCGCCGGCACCTTGGCCGTAGCCATAGCCCTTGGGACCAAACCTCTTGCCGTAGCAAACTGGCAAAAAGTTTTCCATTACATTTTTTTTAAAGCGTGGGAGCGCGATAGGAGAAGAAAGAAAATTTGCGTGCAGGTTAAAAAGAGTGAGGAAGTGAAATTTTCATATAAAATGCGCTGATCAGCATTTTCAGCAAAAATGCAAACTCGAGGGAAATTTGAAACTGTCCTCGTCGTTTTCAATTGAAAGAATAAGTTAACTTTTCTCTCGCTGAATAAAAAAAAATCAAAGGTGAAACTTTGGTTCTCATGCGGAATTAAAACGGGGATTGATAACAAACCTGAACCAGACAAGAATCTTTTAATGCGTTTGTCTGACGGCGGATTAAGAAAATATTTTTCTTTTAAATTTTTATGAAGAAAATGGTTATTATGCTAATGTTAAATGTATGCAAGTGAATTTGTCGATGATAATTACCTTTACAGTAAATATCCTTGTCTGGTCCTTCGCAACAATTGACGGAGTCCAGGGTCTTGGTGCATGCGTTACACTTGAAACACTCCTTGTGCCACGGCTTGAACAACCAGCAAACGGTTGGTCATTTTGTGAGTCAGTCAAGAGGTGTGTGTTTTCAATTTTAATTGTGTTTGCGTGTGCAGAAATTATTTACTTAATGTTTGTGGCAAAATAGAGACAGATCGGAAGGTGCGCAAAAGGGAAGTAAATTTATCCTCAAAAACACCAAAAACCAACGGTTTAATTTGAAAATTTTGGTTTCCTGAGAATTCATTCATCCTCATTTGATTCTTGTCAAACCAAGGACTGCATCACCTTTCGGCGGGGGCGGTCTAAAGGTGTCTCTACCCTGTACCTCGTGCTTCTCCCTCATCGCTTGCAAAATCGTAGGTAACGCGTCTGACATTTAATTTAATTAGCCATAAGCAGACTGTTGAATAAATCTTTTGATTTTTAGTATCTTCTCTTTATTTGCCAAAAATTCTAAATTGAGCTAGTTTTTCTGTGTTTCTTACAATCAAATTTGAATAAAATCGTTAAATATTTGAATGTTTAAACTACCAATGAAAAAGTGTCTTGAAGTTTCTGGATTTTTGATTATTTGGAGACTATTATGAAAGTTTTTTTTAATCAGGACAGCAGTAATTAATTTATCAATAATAAATAATTAAAAATATCAAAATATTTGCATTTTGATTTTTATTATAAAATTAAAAAATCTAAATTTCAACTCACTGGCCATGGAAGACATTTTTGTCTAAATTTAGAGGTTAAAAATCGCCTTTTTATGAATTGGACTTTTTCACCAGTCTGGCAATCTATTGCAAAATTTTTATTAATTTCAAATCCCTGTGAGTACCTGTCGAGCGTGACGGCACAGGCTTGACATTCAAGTTCCTACGCATTAATTGGGGACTGCACCGAGGACAGTAAAAGGATTGCCAACCCTAAGGGACGAGCGACACAATTACTATTCAACTATTTGATAAAAAAAAATCGGGGGAAAAAACTCTTCACCGGGAAACAAAAAGCAAAAAGGATGGAAAAAGAATAATTTAAATTTCGGGCCTACCCTTCCTCTGGCCAACATCTGCTCAGCAGCGTAGACAATGCAGCCGCACCTGGGGCAACCTTCGCCCTCGGCGGCCTTGGCCTTGCCAGTCTTGACCTTGGCCACCCCGTTGGTGTGTCCGTTCCTGCAAAAAATAATCAAGTGTGAAAATCCACTCTCCGCAAATTGCAAATCCATTCCGTTAATAAGCGAAAGAAAGAAAGATGTCTGAGATTAAAATCGATTTTATATTCCAAGTGAGAGGAAAGAAGAAATGGACGCCACTTTTGATTATTTCATTTCTCCTCGCACATGCGGCCCTGCTCTTAGAAGAGGGCTTGTTCTCGTTTTAATTTTTGTGAGTTTGCCGGAAGCCTGCTGTGGTGATTAATTTTGTGATAGCGACCGTGAAGGCCCTTCCCCACATTTTAACAAAATTTCATCTACGAACTCAAAAAGGTGTAAATAATTTTTTTAATTTTTTTTTTCCAAAAAGGCCTGAAAATGGGGAAAGTATATCGCGTTGTCCAGCACTTTTCACTTTATGGATAACTGAAAAACCAGACAGTACACGGTGAAATGATTAGTTTTGTATATAGGTGGAGTAGAAACAGCAATTGTACTAAACTGAAGTGACTGAGTGTGCGATGTGTGAAGATGTGCATGCAAGCGAAAGCAGACAAGCGACACCAAAACAGAGGATAAATTTGAAATCAGCTCACCATTCGATTCCGTCAGTCCAATTGATTCAAGTAAAAAAATATTTTGAATTGGGATGAATTTGAGTTTTAAATAAATTGCGTTTTTGGTTTTTCAATTTGACACTTTTCTCCAACTTTTATTCAAATTTTCAAAACACATTTAGAGATTAATTTAATGGCTTTTTTTAATTAATTTCGCGCAATACAAAATAAAAAGAATTAAGAGAACAATGACCAGTCTTAACCTACTACAAATTAATTAAATTAAGAATTGCAACGCTGCGGTTAAGATAAGATACCATGAGCCAATCTCGAAAAACGTAAAAAATTGCGTTAATCAATTTAATCGGCGACCATGCAGTATAGCCCTATCTCTGGGTTAGGGAATGTTGCCTATACCAGGTCGTCCTTTTGAATGTTCGATTTAATACTTTTTACGGGGACAGGGAAATTGATTCTTTTTTATATGTGTTTGGTTGCAAGAGAATGAAGAAACACAAATATATATATATGGTAAAAACGAAAGAAAATTCAGCCACGGTGCATCCTCTCAGGCAGGGAAGGGCTGCTCGTCTCCAATCTCATCTTAATTGCTACGGGAAAAGGGGAAAAAGGAAAATCAAAATCATGCTTTCTCATCTCGTGGCTTGGTGTGTGAGAGAATTGACAGAAATTTGCAAAGAGTCAAATCATTCGCTATGTACAGTATACTGCCCTGAAATCGACTAGAGGGCTCAATAATTTGATTCGATGCAAACTTCGCAATTTAGGCTGCGAAAGCGCGTGAATATGGAAATCGCAGTTTTTTCTCTTTGCATAAAAACGAGCCTACCAAAAAATGTCCTGACTGGGAATTAGTAAGTGGGTGTACAAATATTAATGAGATGTGTACCAAAATTATTACAAACACACAGTCACAACAGTGGGATGTGTTGTCAAATGATTGCTAAGGAAAGGCCCTCAAGAAAGATCGCTATTTTTTTTATTAATTGGAAACCGGATTTCGCTTTTTTCATTCTAGCCCGAGTCTGTTTATATATATTTGTGTGATGACGTGTGGAGGGTTGTTAGTAGTGTGAGAAAAAGAAAAATTAAAGCGGACACTCACGTTGCCTCCTCAGGCTTGCCTTCCAGGTGCTCGCCGGTGTCCATGCTGAGGCATCCAGCGCCGCCGCCAAAGCCGTAGCCCTTAGGGCCGTACTTGCGCGCGTGGCAAACCTTGCAGAAGAGTTCTCCTTCGTGCTCAGTGCAGTTGGTCGAGTCGAGCAATTTGTTGCACAGTCCTGTTCAAAAATTCAAATAAATCCAAATTGACAAATGGAAAAAAAATCTGCAAATATTTTATCTATTTTGCACTTTATCAATGTAATTTTTGATACGTTTATTCGTTTTTTTCTACATTAGAATATAAATTAAATAGAATTATTTGGTAATTTGTTTTAATATTGTCTTTCTTTTTTCCTAAATTTTATGATTTTGTATGTATAAATTAATATTTCTCCACAAAATTCTTAATCAATACTGAAACTTTTAACTAAATTTGAAAAAATTACACTCAGAATAATAAAAAATTAAGAGATTAGCAGATTGAATTTTCTATTATTTGAATTTATTTATTAATTTCAGTTTTTATGATGGTTGGTTAACTAAATAGGCCATCCGCTTAACAGTCAAGTCACGCCGGTTGCCTATCACTGAACAAGACAGGCGACTGTTATCCCAGAGAGTTCAACGGCCGATCTGTTTTTTCTTTTTCAAAAGAAAAACTCACCGCACTTGAAGCACATCTTGTGGAACTTGAGTCCTCCGGCTACGCGCTCCTCGGCAGCGTACACGGACTTGCCGCATTTCGGGCACTTGGGGTGTTCAACTGGCTTGAAAGGCATTTTGTCTCACTACTGATCTGCAAAACGAGAAGAAAAAAAAATATTTATTTAAGAGGCAAGCAACGCTTCCTAATTAAAATCGAAACGCCTAGACTGAAAAAGTTTGGAAATTTTCCAACAGGCTTGCGTCACAATTCCAAGTAAACTAAGCCGGTAGTTCTCAAAAGTCTTGCGCAATTCGCGTGCAACAAGAGCAAAATTTATTATGAAAAGCGGCCACCCCCCTGCGTGCGTCCATATTTGGTCGCGAAGACAACTTCCCCTCGTTATGCTGGAGCAGCGACGTCCCTCTCTGCAGCGGCGGCCGGCGCGTGGGAAGTTCCCGAAATAGAAATGGAGCGACTTATTTTTCATGCCCACCAAATTTGGAGCCGCGGCCAAAAGCACTCCCGATTTGATAAAAAAGCTTGAAGGAAAACAGCGTCAATTTCAGATAAAAACCTGCACTTTCCAAGAGGCTCAGTTCCTTTGATTCGGAAACACTCAAAACAGCATCACCATAAATTTGATTAGAAATATCAAAATTATCAAAAAATTTAAAATTGAATAAGAAATATTTTTTAACCCATTTGAAAGGGAAAAATTATTTGGAGGATGCGGTGAAAAAAGTCGTTTGATGTTCAAGCGAAAGGGTTACCTACTTATGGTCCAGAGGTCGGGGGAAGAGGACGGTTCGATATCGACGAGAGCCACAACGGCGAATGACTAGTCGCCGGCCGTGCATCTCCACTACTTTTGGGCACCTTCTTTGCACACGGCACTCTCATTATGAGTAGTTCAGCGGCGAGGGAACCTTCTCGCTTATGATACAAATTTCTATTTGGAGAACAACTAACGCCAGAATCATCATCATTTTCTCACTTTTCATTAATTTATGGACATCATAAATTTACTCAACCGAGCTACCTCCGACCCAATTATTGCGGCTCGTTGAAAAGAGGAGCCGATCGCATTGGGAAACGACGATTAATAATGTGAACACACACTTCGAATGCACTGCTTGGCGATACAGTTTTATTCATTCAGGCTTCTATGAATTCCATACCAATTGATTAATAATGTCTCTTCAATCTTATGTAACTCTTGAATTTGAAAATATTTTGTGCTTTTTAATTAATTACAATTTTTAATTACATAAGTGGCCAGGAAATTTTTGTTATCAATAAAGTTAATTTCAACAAAAGGACTTTCAAATTTTTTTAATGTTGTTTTTAATAATTAGGACTTGGAAAAAGTTGATTTCTTAGACAAGTTGATTAAATTCTAAATAAAATTAATATTAATATTTATTCATATTAAATCGCACAAAACAGTCTCTATAAGTCATTATTTCTTCAATTTAGTATGGTCTATACTGATTTCTTACTTCTAGAAAAATATGAAACATTTTTCTTATTTTGAATATATTTTTTTCAGTTATTTTTCTTACTTCATCACTTTAGCCTTTTTCAATTATTGGCATTACAAAAATTATTCACATATTTAAAATCCACCAAACGCTTAACCAGGCTTTTCCTCATATCATTAAGTTAGCTAATATTAATATCGTTCTTAACTATATTTTATAATATAAAAATATTTTTCTTACATTTTTTTATGTACTCAATTAAACATTTTATAACATTTTTCACATTAAAATGATTATTCATATTAAAATCTTTAATGATGAAATTAATAAAATATCTGAAAAAATATGTTGTAAAAAAATTGATTATTTTTTCCATGTAAGAAATCGGTATTTTTGCTTTAATCAATGGGATAACTTAATTTTCATGGGGTTTTAATGAAAATAATACATTTAATGCAGATATTGTTAAAATTGATAAAATGATGAATATAAGATAAAAAGTTAATACAAAACTTCTTGATTCTACCGTAATGAAGTATGATGCTACCGTTGGCTTTATTTATGTGAAGGAGCGAGTAGCATTGCGTTCCATGGGATTTTAATGCGACTAATGTAAAAAATTGATAATATCGTGAAAAAAAATATTTGATTGAAAATTTTAATAAAATAAATTCAACAACTTTTCAAGCAGTGATCAAGGAAAATGTTCTTTTAATGAGGCACATTTGAAAATTATTCTTTCTATGACCAAAATATTATAATATTCCCTCTACGGTAAAATTATAAAAAATTCTTTAAGCTACCTGTTTTTAACCAAGGGTGTCAGATTATTTGCTGTTTTCCGGGCATCCAACGTACATTGCAAAATTTTGAAAATAAAGGTGAAATTATGAGAATTCCATAAAATGCAATAAAATTTGTCTCAAAAGAGGTCAATGCACTCTACTGAATTGATCTCACAGCTCGAAAGGCTTTTGAATGGGCCTAATCGAGTTTGCTGTGATTCCTGATTGGGTTTGTTTTGGCGGTCGACACGGTCTCAATTAATTAATCAATCGGTGGTCGAGGGGGTGAGTCACGGTTTGTCTCCGCACCTCCCTAGCTTTCTGCCTCTTGGGCTCTTCCGCACACTGTGTGTTTATCCAAAGAGCGAGTGTGACGCGCGCCTATTTTCGGACACACTCTCATCACGCATTAATAATAGCGCCGATCGCACGGCTATTTTCGCAAACATCTGTTCTCATTGAAACGTCAATCACGCATTTCTCCTCAGACGCCCACTCGTTGGGTGCTTTTTTTTACAACCGGCGGCGACCGAGGCAATAAATAACAGATAATTTTTAACAATTATTCCGTATCAAAATTATTATTACCGTGAGATTATCTCTTTCTATTTAATTGGTAAGCAAAAAAATGAGATATTTTTCCAGCCTAAATTTATGGTTTCGATATTATATTTATTTTTCTTCCTCTCCTTGGAATTGAAGCTGCGAGGGCTGCAGTCTGATGTGCCTATTTCTCTCTCTTCGCCCCATTCTAATCTAAACAAACATCTCTCAAGTTCTGGAAAGATCGCGGGCGCGTTTCAACACGGGCTGCAAAATGATAAATTTTGATGAGGCGTCAGCTTTCTCCGTTAAAATACTATGAAATAATGGCTGAGCATATATATTTATATCTCGAATGAATATTGTATGATTATGTTGCTAGATTCATTTAAGCAATCAATGCTACTAATTAACACTCAAAAATTCAGCTTATAAAAAGGAATTTAAAAAAAAAATACAATCATGAAAAATTTTCAAACTTACTATAAGCGTTCACAAAAGTGGATAATATACAATTTTATAAAACAATAACAAAAGTATCAATTGTTAAATTATTATTTATGATTTATCTTTATTTCTATCTGACGATAGTGACGATGAAGACTTTTCCAAACTGACAGAGGTAATGGCTGTGTAAAGTTTATATTTTTAATTATGTGCAACTTTTACACCGGACTGAACTAACTTAAATAAATTCTTATTTTTATTTTTATTCTCAATAAGATAAAAATCAAAATAAAAAAGTGTTTTAAATGTTTTAAATGAAATAAAAAATAGTGTAGAAATTATAAAATAATATTTATAAATTTAAAAAAAAATATAATAAAAAAATAGATAAAACAATATAATAATATATTATTATTTATAATTATAGAGCATTTAACAAAATCTGTTGATACCGGAGATATTCTTGCCGACGACAACAAGGCAGATATTCTAAATTAGAATCTCTGTTTGAGCCGCGCGCTGTGTGACACGTCACAGCACACGTAACCACTGAATCATCAACAGCACAAAGAAAATAGAAAGGGTTTCTCTCAACCAGGAATCATTAGTTTTCTATTTCAAGCGCTTTCCTCAAGATTAAAATGTCAGCGTCAAACAGTTCCCCTTCGTAATTATTTAATGCTTTCAAATCAATCATAAATTAATTATAACGACAAAATAGAAAAATTGCAATAAAAATTTTACACTCGAAGACACAATTGGTGGAAAAGACGCGAAATATTTTACAGTAGTTTTTATTGCTTTCAACAGTACTTGTGCCAGAATAAATCAACGGAAGATTTACGACAGCAGTCTGGAGAAAACTGAAAAATTCACCGCTTTTAATAATTCATAATCTGGCGACGTCTCGCGAAAGATGTTCCAAATTTTTACAAAGTAGGCAACACGTTTGTCACCGGCGACACGCGAGTTGCGGCGGCTGCCGGCGATTAATCATTTCTGCCTCGCGAGCAAAGAGCGACGCGTGGGCTTGCCGAGATTTAGGGTCGCGCACTCTATGTGAGCGCATTGTTGTAAGACTAACAGCCAGCTTTGAATGACGGCACAGTCGGCCTTAATAAAAAATCAAGCCTCTCCTGCACAAACTCTGACTCATTGTTTACACCAATTTAAATCAGACAAACAATCCAAATCATCTTAATAGCTCCTGGTTAAAAGAATAGTTCCTTGAAAGACTTTCTTCTGTATTTTTGGTCTTTTCAAAATTAATTTAACTAGTTTTGCTTTCTCAAATTTAATTTGGACCAGAATCAAGTCAAAAATTCCGTGAAATTGCGCAATAACTCTTCTCTCTCATTGAGCTAACCACGTTGGAGGTATGGAATTAAATCCACAAATCTTGAGAGCACATTAAAACTAGGAGGGTCGGTGAGGCCGGTTAAAAATACACGTTGATATGTGTGGAGCCGCTTCCAAGAATTTGGCCACCGCAGCAGCGGCGTAAGTAGAAAAACAGCGGCACTTGTACTGAACGGGTAATTGAAAGACTTGTGCAATTATTTTGGAATTCGTAGGATAGCATCTGCCTCTCGTCCGAGATTGTCTTGCGTCTGTGCCAGTGGTGCACTTTGGGCTGCTGCGTGCAGTGGAAAAAGAAGGAGCGCTAAATTTAGTGCGACGCCGAGATGATTTATGGGCGCGTTGGCCACAAAAAGTTTTGCAAGTGGAGCGCTAAAACTCGTCCTACACGCAGTTTTTAAATAAAAATTAAATCTCGCCACATTGAAATTTACGGAACCCATTTTGATCTAATGAAAGATGTTTCATTTTATAGAAAATATCTGCCCTCGAAGATTGCCCGTTATAGCGATTTTATCCCTTGGAAGCCTGTTTCAGCGGCAGTAATTTAAATTTTGTAAAATCGGTTCTCCATTGATGCAACTTCACGGCGGCTACGGAATATTTTTTATGTTGGGTGTTTTATATAGCAAATAGCACTAACTGACATCTGCTAGTTGTGATACCCTTCCTTCTTGTCACTTGACTCTAATTTCACATTTTTTTTGTTTTGTTTTGCAAGTGAAAATTTGGCAATGAGAAGGATAAGTGTAGGATGATATTTTTATTAATGAAATAATTTATTATGTTTGTGCAATCAATTTAATCCTTTGAAAAGTATTAAAAATGTTTTTATACACATAAATTTATTTTAATTTAATTTCTTTTAAATATTTCAATGATTTACATTGGTGTTGAATTTTAAATACTTATAGTTAAAAAAAAATACATTTATTTACTATTGGAACCATTAAAATTGCAGTATTAGCTGCAATAAAATGAATATTTTAATATTTAGGTATACAAATATGCTCATATTATTATTATGCCTTAATATGAAATTATATGTGCCGTGACAATACAATAAGTGTTTTTGGCAACAATATATAACAAAATAGGTAATTAAAGTTGTCATTTTCATTTTTTTTCAGGTCCTTCAAACGATTTGGGATTTGGAAACTCGTCCAGGATATTCTTATAATCTTCCTGTCGCTTTTCCAGCGAAACAAATTCTTTGATGTCCTCATCATACCCATCATATCTATCAATCCTCTCGATGCGGAATTCTTCACCTTCAAACCGCCCTTCTAAAAGAGCCATCGGGTCGATAAGCTCAAGAGGTTCATCTGAAATGTGATTCTCCATCATCATTTCATCGATGCTAAAATTTCTATGTCTGTCGGGCAGCTGATGATTGTAGTTAAGCAAAATGTGTCCTGTGTGACCCCTAGGTCCTTCGCCTCCAATTCGGCCAAAGTCGTAGCCCACGTGGGGTCCATGTGGCCCGTTCCCATCAAAACTCATTTTAGGGTTGTCCAAGTTAATGCATGCCGTGTATTCGACATAATTGGTTGGACTGATTTCAACTTTAACTTCGGCTACCATCTCAACTGGGAATGCCATTCTTTTCAGTGTTTTGCCGCAGCGAACCAGGATCGTGTCCACTCTGTAAAAATAGTTATTAGTTGCACGAGTTATCAAAATTTCATACTATATTATAATCAAATTTAATTTACCTTGTAACCTTCCAATTTTTGGCTGGGATATATTCATGTCCAAATTTTCTATTTTTACAATCAATTTGCTTCAGTCCATTCTCAATCAACTTCCGAGCCTCTTTGAAAGCCTTTACAAGTTGTGCAATGACACCTCTCGCATCCAGCTTACAGGTGGGCTTTCCATTAGTAAAGTCCCTGTCCTTATTTGGGTCAAAATGGAAATTTCCGCCCGATAGGTGGTTTCTCTCTTCCTTTTTTTGCTCTTGGTTTTTGTTGTTTTTGGTATTGCTCGCACTTTGGCATGGTGCCGCTTTTTTATTGCCCCTCGTTGAATTGTTTTCTAATGCAGCAAACTGTATCATTTTTACACAAAATTAATACCAAATGCTTCATAAATTAAATTTAAATATCATGTGCCACTGAAATTGCGATTTGTGAATGCATGTGATGAAGTTGAGTGAAGAAGTTGGCACTTGAGAAGACGTTCATGGAGTGAAGAAAAATTAGCTTTATTCTCGTTGAAAAGTATAATAAAAACAATAAACAGCTTTACCAATAATGGTCATGGTCTGCAACCCTATTTCATAAGCGAATGCACTTGCTCGCTTGAATTATTCAAAAACACCAAAATATAGGGTCACAAATCTGACCGAATCTAGCTTTGAGTCATTTTTGATTAAATTTAAAAACTGTTTTTCAACTAAGGACAAAGTCTATTTTTCTTCACTCGAATTGCGTTAAACTTACACTCATAGCAACAACGGAAATGAAATCACTAACTCCAGAACCAACTTCAATTGCGACTTTGGCAATCATGGAAAGTAATGTTACAAGCCATTCCTTAATGGCATTTAAAATCTCAATAGCCTGAAAATTTACTGCATTAAAATCTTATTTTGCTCTAAAAATATAAAAAAAATATGAAGGATGTCAGAATATACATATGGAAAATGTTAATTACTGATTTATTGCGAAAACTTACTAAGTTTGCTAGGGAATGCAGAATTTTAGATATTGTGTCACAGGTGATATTTGTCAAATAAGCAACTGCATTAGGGCATGTAGATGACAGGATTGTAATGGCCGCTAAGGGAGCAAGCTTTTTTATGGTACTTGACAAGCCATAAAATGCTACTCCTTTCACAGTCGGAGCACCGAGCAGGGTGAATCCTCCTGAAGAAAACACTAAAACTCCACCAACAACTACTATTCCAGCAGCCTTAAGAAGATTCAAAAAGTCATCTTCCATGCCTCCTTTCATTGTAAGATTTTTGGCTGAAAATAAAAACGTTGGAAACAAACTTAATTATTGAATGTTAATAATGAAAATAATGACGTATATTAATATTATTATTTGGTACGTAGCTAATTAAGTTTATTGGTGTACCGCAAGGCAGTCTCTGCCCTCTACCCACATCGAGATATTGACAACTATAATATTTTCTGATATTATTCCAGGAATAATGTGGCGAGTAACGAGTAACTTCCATTATATGGAGAGGTCTGAAAAATGCGGGGTCCCACCTATAGAAGCCATGGGAACATACACATTACACACTATACTGTAAAAATGTTGAATTGTAGTCAATAGTCACCGTTTATTTCCCCTAAATTAAATTTTCCAAATTATTGTGATTCATCTGCCCTAAAATCAACGGTATTTGAATAAATTTTCTGAAACTTTTCATTTTATAGTTTCAAAATTTAATAATATGTGTGGTACAATGGCTAGTGCACTTGGCTCATGGCTGATAAACTAGAGGCGGTAGAGGCCTTATATAGGTTTTATCCCGGCTGCGTTCATGATATTAAAAAGCTAGCGTCTCCAAGCGAATACCGGCATAGTTCCCATTCACAGGCAGCAACCTCTCACATTCCTCATCTTTGATATTCCCATTATTCCCATCAGTCCAATCTACCCTGCGCTCCAAGGCCAACCTTATAAAATTGGGGAGATCTGTGTCATAGACCTTTGAGATTTAGGAGGCCTGACTGATACCGATACCGCTGGTGTTATTTCAGTCTTTGTGCTGAAAAACATTTTCCTTAAAATTCGTTGAAATTATATAGTTGAACTTAAATTCCCGGAATTCAAACAGTTTTGATATAAAAAAACACGTTTTTCGTTTAAATTTTTGGCAGAATTTGCAAGTTGTTATTATACGCACTGGTTTCAAGCGCAAAATGAGCACAAATAATCGCTGCGCTCAGCGCGACCATTGCCCAATGCGCTCGCGCTCAATCTTTTAAGAATCATGCGATCGCGCTTGAGCTCAAGAGCGCTCTTTGCGCACTGCCATGTATGAGAAAGGGGTTCTTACATAATTTAGATTAAAAAATCTTGCATTTTTATGAATGATGAATAATCTGCTATTAGTAAATTCATTAAATTAACTGAGCAATTATAAGCAAAATTAGTAAAAATAATTGAGAGCCAGTCGAGATTTTTCATCGTAAAAATTAGAGAAATAAAGCGACAAAGAGAAATAAATCAGACAATCCAGATGTGATAATATTAGATGCAAAATAATAGTGGAATAATAAAAATGTTGTTACTATATTAAGTACCTGGAATAGGGAATTCAAAATTTAGCTGATTTTATGAGTCGCAACGTCGCAACTGCCGCAAGTATGTGCTGTGCTGAGAATGGCACAATCGGATTTTGTGCCTTTATAATATTAATATAGAGACGACAATGTTCACGGAAAATAAGACTTTTCATAAAGTCATACTTTGGTGTCGCGTTGTGATATCAAACTCCTTGTTTTTTCCCTAACTTATTTAACGCAACGCCAGATATGACGTTATCAGACATATCATTCTATTATTAATTGTTCTTCATTGTACAACTGCAAATAATTAAAGCAAAACGATTGCTAATTTAATATCAAAAAATAAAAAATCGTCCTAAATACGTGATAATTATTCATAAAAAAGGTGTGATATAATATAAGATGCAAAATTAAAGTGCAATAATAAAATTGTTGTTACTACATTAAGTACCTTTGGAATGGGGAATTCTAAATTTTAGCTGATTGTATGAGTCGCAACTGCCGCAAGTATTGTGCTGTGCTGAGAATGGCACAATTGGATTTTGTGCCTTTATAATAGAGAAGACAATGTTCACGGAAAATTAGACTTTTCATAAAGTCATACTTTGGTGACGCTTTGTGATATCAAGCTCCTTGGTTTTTTTCCGAACTTATTTAACGCGATGCAAGAGATGACGTCATCTGACACATTATTTAATTATAAATATTTCTTCATTGCGCAACTGAAAATGTTTGAAGCAAAACGGTTGCAGATTTAACATCAAAAATGTTAATAAAAATATAATTTAGTAATAATAAGAGTTTATATATATATATATGTATATATATATATATATATATATATATATATATATATATATATATATATATATATATATATATATATATATATATATATATATATATATATATATATATATATATATATATATATATATATATATATATATATATATATATATATATATATATATATATATATATATATATATATATATATATATATATATATATATATATATATATATATATATATATATATATATATGTATATATATATATATATATATATATATATATATATATATATATATATATATATATATATATATATATATATATATATATATATATATATATATATAATATATATATATATATATATATATATATATATATATATATATATATATATATATATATATATATATATACTACCTTATGAGCGTAGAATAAGGAAATTCTAGATTCTAGAGTGTTGCAAACACAAGAGCTGAGCCATCAGCCGATTGTATATTGGTGAGTATTGGGTCTCCTTTTATACGGACATGATAACGTTTTTTATCGGTAACAGATCGGTGGTAGACTTTAAATAAGGCTATGCTATACTTTTTAGTTCAGATTGTATAACATCGATAACATAATCATTTTATTTATTCGAGTTCAAGATTTAGTTATCCATGAGCACTATTCTCTGTTTCTTATCAATGTATGCGACGTAGACTTTTAAAAATGTCTTACATTGGTCTTAAGTTGCGTAGAAAAATGAAATAGAAACCTCATGTTGCAAATTAATGCTTAAATATATAATTTGAATTCGTTGGAAATTTTTTTTTTAGAAAAATAATTTCCTTAATTACTTGTTGTTGCTTTTTTTTCATTAAATAGCTGCATGAAAAGTGAGACACTGCATCATAAAAATAAACTTAAGTTGCTAGTGACACTTCAGAAGATAGAAAAGAAAACGATTACATTTTTCTCATATTACAATCATACCAAAATATAAAAAAAAAATATAGAGAGAAATTATTGTTAATTAATTGCAGGGAAATACCATACCTTATCTGCCTTAGCTGCCATTTAAGTTATTCTGCAAAATATTTTATTTTTTATTCTTGAGTTCTTCTGTCCTCTTACAATTAGAGATTCCGAGAATAAAGGATTTTACATTTTATTTAAAGAAAAGTTCTCTATACAAATTAAAATTTAACTTTCTTCTAAATTAACTAAACAAATTACAAATTATCGGGTCAATAAAAAAGAAAACAACGAGATTTTTTTCTTAATTTGTTAACAAAATCACAGTTTGGAACTATGAAACACTCATTTTTTATTTTTTATTTTGAGGTGATGAAAAACATCGCCGCATAGTAGCTGCTGGCGTTGACTACCTTTTTGAGGTGTCGTCACACCTCCTTGGGTGAGGAAAAATGCATCGCTCTTGGTCTGCCCTGTGTCTCTCGCTGGTCAGGAGGAAGGTTCTCCTGGGGGTAAATCATCGCAGCTCGATAGTGGAATTCAATTTTCCGTAAAGTTGGGGGCTGATCGCCGCGACAGCTTTCTCGATAAGCAGCAGCACGGTAAAATCGAGTGCGGCGATCAGCCTCGTTTACATAAAAAAGTCGACTGACGACTCGAACTTTAATCGATATCCCACTAACGAGCTGTGGTGATTTGCCCCCTGTTCGACTTTGGCTTGGCCGCAAGGTCGCTAGTGGCCTCGATCGCGAGGTTTCTCACGAGCGGAGTTTGAGCAGCATCTATCACCACATGCAGAACGGTGTTATGAATTTTCTATTTCCGAATAAATACCATTATCATTATGAGCACTGTGATTGACTGGAAGAGGATAATACAAATTAAATTATTATTATATTATTTATTTCTGTAGATTTTCACTAGATACAAAATTTGTATATTGTTAAAAGAGAATAAAGGTTCACAAATAGCAGATGTCTCAGTCTGCAAGGTATAAAGCTACGAAGTGCCATATCCCCCAGATAACACTTTACAATGATATTTTTTTTCTTTTCTGGTATTCATTTAAATAATAATTAATTAATTGTCTTTTAAATTAAATCAAATTTTATTATGAAACATAATAACTTAGTAATTACAATACAACAACACAGCTAACATGAGGAATATATTAAGGCTGATAAAAAAAAATGAATGTATACACATAAAAAAGGCTTTTATAAAATCCCTTCCATTCTTTCCCTAACATTGAAAATGTTTTACGGCAACCATAATTAAAACAAAGAAAACTGCATGCTATTCAACTAAACAAAGGATGCAAAGGATATTAATAAACCATTCTTTTTCTTAGTAAAATAAATACTATATGCTCAAATATTTGACTAGGTGACCACTTAATTTTTTATTGGAGAATGGAAAAAGAAATATGCTTTCTCCCACTAAAAATAATTTTTTTCTTACTATCTTCTTATTGTAAATGAATTCCATTGTTTCACAAGTAAAAGGTTTTATTTTGAGAAGAGACTTTTCTCTCGAGGAGACGATCATGAAAGTGAAGAAAACGGGCTTTGTCCTCTTTGAAAAAAATTGCTTTTCATTAAAAAAAACAACAACAACAACAAAATCGCCAGTTTTGGTCACGGTTTGCAAACCTATTTAGGAGCACTGCTTGCTGATTAATACAAGAACTTGCAGCAGACCATGACCGAAACTGGTAGAGCCGTTTTGTATTTTGAATATTAAAAAAAAAAAAAATCATTTTTCAACAATGAAAAAGCCCGTTTCCTTCAATTTCGAGAGATTAATATTTTCCAATTTAATTATTTTAAATATAAAAATTAGATAACAAATAGCAAAACAGCTCAAAGTAACACAAACAATTAAAATGTAAAAAAAATGGAAAGATTAAAATTAACTACTCTCAGTACTCTCTGATAAGGAACAAACAGCTTTATTGGATCAGAAAAATAGATGAATGAATAAGTGAATAAGCGCTGTATTGGATTTTTTTGATGGCACCTTCAATTAATTGAAAAATTTAAGTTTTAAATTATTTAATTTATTTTTGAAGCAGAACAACGTCCAAAATTAATGAGATTACGCGAGACACGGTTTTAGAAAGTGACATCTGTATTTATCTCCAGCAGAGCCGTGAAATCTTGCAGGCTATAAATTATCTTCACATCCAGCATGCTTTCGCTGCGTGCAGAAATAGAATCTCCGTCGCTTGATGATCGACATCCGCTGAAAAACGCGTTCCAGCTCTGGACATTTCAACGTTAAACAAATGATGGAATTCAAAATCATCTCCCCCGTTCTAATCCCAGATATAGAAAGAAAGAAAAATGACCGGCTTAATTTTGTTTGCCGCGGGGCAGGTGCACGTGGGCGTGATTTACACTCAACCCTTTGAATACAATGCGTGGCCGGTGCCAACTAATCAAAAAGCGGCGCTCATTATAAAGTGGCCAAAATTTAGAGGTGTCGCCGCCGCTAATCCACTTGTTTTTCGGTCCGGCAGGCGCTGGAGCTCAAGCCTGAAAAGTTATTTCTGGAGTGAAACTCAATGCGCCACTGCCTTTTATGTGCGTTGCCAGACATAAATATTTGGACTCCAGCCAGTAGCGAGATAAATGTAGAGAGGACAGCAAAAAAGACCAACCTTCGCTTAATTCTCAGAGATATAAATAAATTTTATTCGTTCACTTTGATTGTTTAAAATACAAATCTGTTCGCTTTAAATTTTATACACATTTATTTAATAATTTTAATGCTCAAATAAAATACAAAGGACAAAAAACAACAGAGAAGGCAGTCATTGTGCGTTTTACAGTATTACAAAAGTGTTATGAATGTCATACACCCATCGAATGATTTTGTACATCTCCTCTTCAACCATCACTTGTTGCATAACTAACCGCGGGAACGGCGCTCACTTGCCGAGCAGGATCTTTCTGGTGGCGCCCAGGCTCTGGCCGGCCTGGCTGGCGCCCTTGTTTTGTCCAGCCTGCAGACCGATGATGCCCTCGCCGGCGCGCAGCTGCTCCTCGGAGAAGTCGCGTTTGTTTTCCTCGGCGGGTCTGGGGCCCAGGTACGGTCCTTGCCACTCAGCGTGACGATAAGTCTGAATAATAAATAAAAACTTAGCTGATTTCTCCTTTATTTAATAGAACAATTAAAAATAATAATATTGATGATTTGATTTTCCTAATTTCCAAAAGTATCTTAATTTGTGATTTTTTCTTTTATGTTAAAGTAAAGTTTTAAATTAATGAAGAACATTTTTCCAGTTTAATTGAATAAAGAACTTACCGTGCGGCCAAGTGCGAAAAGGGTGGTGGTGACCTGGGCAATGTCCTTCTTTTCATAGAGGTCGACGGTTTGGAAAACGTCAAGGTCGGCAACTCCGTAGCTCTTGAGGGCCTGCTGGAACCTAAAACAGGATAACAACCCTCTTTAGCAAAGGAGTGCGCGCATATTTTTAGAACAAAGATAGTTTTCCGACCAATTAGATGTGGGTCAAATATAGACACGCTATTATAGTTCGTTTCTCGAAATAGACTGAAGAATGAGAGAAGAAGAAACAAATATAAAAGTGACGTCGCGAACTTGTTTATGCTCCCACTTGTCTTTCTGATTAATGGCCGTGAAAGTGGCCCTCCAGAGATGAGAGCACCCTCTTAAAATAAACAGAAGTAAAATGATATGAAAGCATCAAACTATTGAAATATTTAACAAAATATAACTTCTTTTACCTCATTTGCTGAATTTATGAACATTTGAATTTTTCAAAATAAAATTCATTTATTTTTCACTGCTTTTTACTCTAAAGCTGTTTTCTAAGCTAGTGGATTTACGCCAAATTTCAATATTTTGAATATTTTAAGTTATCCTAACCAAAAGTTTAATAATTTTAAGAAATATTTTATATCCTTACAAGTTGATGTTCTCCATCATCTTGAACTGGCCGCCGGACTTGTTGATCTTGGCGACTGATCCAGGCTGGATTTTGTTCATGAGTCTGCAGAGGACCTGTCCGTCCTTCAGCACGTCTTCGTAGGACTCGCCGCAGTTGAACAGTTTCTCGCCCAGCACGGCTTCGATCCACTCCTGAGCCTCTTTTTCCTGCTCAGGGTCGCGCTTGCCGGCGAGCTGAGGAAAAAACACGCAACAATTGCACCATGTTATTTTTGAAAATTCAGGCCAGCTTTTTTTAAGTTTACGGCCAAGAGAGAAATATTTATGCGTTCGAAAATGGGACGCGGCTCTTTCCAGCAAAAACGTTGGCCGCCGGCCCAAGAAAGAGGAGGAAATAGCAGCTTTGCAACACATCCCAATGCTTTCGTTTGATATTTTGTAGTTTTTTGTTCCTAAACCAAATTTCACGGCTCGTTAACAATTAGCTGAACCAAAAATACCACTGTCAAATTGCATTTATGTCCCTTTTTAATCTTCCACTTTGTTTGCAAAAGTATTTGGTAATAATTTGCAATGAAATAAAAAATATTAAAATTGTAGGCTCAAAATAGGCCACCTGTTTTTCACAGATGTCATGAAGTTTGCCTAAGTTGAATGGAAATTTGCAACCACTGCTATTTATTTACCACTTTCTCATCTCTTTTTCTAATTTCAAATCAATTTTTATGTGACTCAGAAGAATATAAATTGTAATTAAATTAAATAAATCAAAATCACGAAAAAAAATCAAAATTTTAAAATTTTGCCTCTTACCTTGAGGCGGACCTGCCTTTCCAGAGACATGGTTGGGTTTTTTGCTGTCGCGGGGTGGTTTTGCAAGTGCGAGATGTGGCGCTTTGGGACTGACTGCTCCTGAAGGCACCTCTTCTCGGTTATATAGTTCCAGAAGGCGCCCCCTTTCGCACCAAATATAACCCGTATGCTGATTATTGGAGGCACGCGCCGTTTGTGAAACGTCACCAAAGAGTGTGGGCACCGCGTGTCGTCACGGCCGGACCGTCATCCCTGCTCTTTGCATTGCTCTGATTCACCCCTCTTGCAATTTTTCACAACTCATCACAACAACTGCTTTGGCACCCTCTCCGTTTCGACAAATATGGTAATTGCCGTGCAGCATTCAAAACAAGCCAAAGATAATTAATCAAAACTTAAGTTTTTTTTTTATTAATCTAATTCAAAAAAGTCTTCCCAATTCACCGGTCGGACAAAAATTCAATTATTTTTAATAAGGATTTCCCCATAATTACTGAAATTTAGTCGCTATTTTTCATAAGTAAAATGGTCAATTGTTTTTCAATACAAGGCGTTAAAATTGTAAAATATAATTTAATAATAATCAAGGTTTTTCAGATTCAAGTTAAATCTACTATCCTGAAACGGAAGTGTTTTATAACCACAAATTTAATTCTCACATAATTGTTAGTGTGCGTGTGTTTTTTCTGTTAAAATTAGTGTAGAGTAGTGTATTGTTTGTGTTGTAAAGTGTAAAGCAGTTTCAGGGGTGAGACATTTTAAAAATTAATTTCTCAATTAAAAGTCAAAATTTTGGTTTGTATATTCCATTCTTTAAAGCCAAGTGTTTCTCGCACAGTTTCAGTAAATCCACACAAATTTAATATTTATTTGGTTGTGGTTCTCAATGTAATAAAAGTGCAAAATATGCTCAGAACAAATATTTTTTTCTCTTTTAGTTTGATTTTAGCTTCTTCACAAAAATAAACCTGCTTCTCCTGCTAGTTTTCAGTGAAAATCTGTTGCAGTCTGAAGAAAAAAAATTGTCTTCTAATTAGAAAAAGGTTTATCAAACACAAACATTATATTTTAAAATTTAAAGGATAATAAATAAAATTTATAATAATTTTTTACTAACTAAAAAACATATTATTTAAAAATATTAAAGAGTTTTAATTAAATTGTTTTATATTATACATACAATAAAATAAATATTTTTAAATATATTTACTATGTATATTTTATTATATTTATAATATTTGTATATTATCTTAAATATTTTAAATATAATATATCATCATAAACATAATTCATACAATTAAAGATATAATAATTTTTCTAACGAAATTACAGTATAAATGAAACTCTACTGAGTGGGTGCTTCTTTTGATCCAACTGTGCATGAATTTTTTTTTATTATTTTTGATAATTACTTGCAGTTGGAGAATTACAGCGAAATATGTATTCAAAAATAATATTGCTTGCAAAACCAACGTGAAATTAGATTTGGCTACGTGTCTGGTCCTACACCGGCGGTGACACTGACTCGCCCTATTTCATGTTACTTTACGCGTTGAGTGCATTAGTGCATTAAAATTCGCACCTCTCTCCAGAATTTCTCTTTCCAGAAATTAATTGCCCTCGCACATCACTCAACACGAGCTGCGACCAGATTCATCACATCTCGTGTTATTTGAATGTGGTCCAGAAAGCCGCGTTTTGCCGACGACGTATATTTTCGGCGCCAAGGATAAGAAGAGGTGACGGATTTTTTCTCGCCTCGGAGAAAATATTGCGAGCGCATGATTAATGAGCGATGCTAACCGAACGCGACGCCTAGACCGACCTCCGCTTCATATAATTGCGGTTTATTCTGGAAGCGTCACTTAATTGGTTGCGCAAGTTGCTGAAAAATTAAGTGTCCAACATTAATCATAATTCATAATTTAGGCGGTGCCAAAAGTTCTGGAGTAAAATATAAAAGATTCTAAAGATTCACGATTTACTGTCTTCACAACTTAATTTATTTTATGTCAAAAAATTTACAGTAAAATATTTTATGATTTAGTTGTATTAATTCTGAGTTTTAATGTTCGAGATGATAGGATAGGAACTATTCAATCTTCACACTTTCAACATCTTTAAGAAGAAATAATCACGCAATCAAACTCTCTTCAAGACGATTTGAAGATAAATTGCTCCTATGAAAATTACGCCTGGTAGCAATTAGTACTTGTCTGAAGTATTTAAAGACCGCAATTTCATACAAAATAAAAAGCGAGCGCTTTTTTTTGAGTTCACACTTTGGTAAAAGTATTCTGAAAACGGGAAGAGCTAATGAAAGGTTCAATCATTCATATACGAATTTTATTCAAAATAAGAAAGCTATAGCGCTGAATTTTTTGTTCGCCTTTTTGGAGAAATATTGTGAAAACCAGAGAAGCTATTGAAGGGTTAAATTATTTACAAAATAGCAAACAAGCGCTTATTTTTGCGTTAGCATTTGTTGAAAAGAATTTTGAAAACGGGATAAAGAATTAATGATATAAAATGAAGAATGAAAAGCAAGCGCTATGATCTTGTTCGCCTTCTGTGAAAAATATTGTGAAATCGAAAAGAGCTACTGAAAGGTTCAATTATTCATAGATGAATTTTATACAAGTTGAAAGCAAGTGCTATATTTTCTTGTTTTTCCGTTCACCTTTGAAAACGGGAAGAGCAATTGATAGGTTTTATTTAAAAAAACCATTTTATAAAAAATAAAAAGCAAATGTTATATTTTTTTGTTCGCCTTTTGGGAAAAGTATTTTTAAAACGGAAGAGCTATTGTTGGGTTAAATTCGGTTAAATTGTTTAAAGACAAATTTTATACAAAATAAAAAGCAAGCGCCCACATATTTTTTTGTTCGCCTTTGGAAAAAAATATTGCGAATAGTATAGGCTTGAACCAGTCGAGCCATCTCGAAGCAATCACTGTAACTGTTAAAGCGTGTTTTTGTATTTAGGAAATTCAACAGTAATAGTGAACGTAGTGAAGTAAATTCAAAACTTAATTAATAAAATTATTAAAATTAAAATCTATTGCTATTTTTAAAAATATCACCAGTATTGTAAAAAAATTAATTTTATTCCTTGGAAATATTTATAATTCATTATAGGAAAAAGCAACGCTTTCCCTTGCGCAGATATAAATTCGCATTGCCTCACGCGATTGCAAATTTCAAGGGGAACGCGGATCGGAAACACAAAAGCCGCCGCGAGGCAGAGAGCGAGTGCAGCGAGCGAGAAAATTATTTGCCGCATTTGATAGAAAGCTTTGGTCGGTCGGCGCTGTCGAGTGCGCGCAGCTCGATCCTCGCCAGTCTGCCACGGGCCAGCATGGAGAACGCGGACTCGGCGACATGATGGAGGAAAAGTGCTCGCTGGTGGCCTCTGGAGGCCGCTGCGTGTTGCGGACGGCCCTCGTCTTCGCCGTCGCGGCCGCGGCCACCGCCGTCATCTACTTCTCGCCGGTGCCTGGTGAGACAAAATCATTAATTTTTTTTTAATCATTACGTAGTTTATTGGTGCATTGCGGAAGTTGTAATGACGGAATCATTTGTGGTACAAATCGCGCAAGGAATGAGTTATTGCTTCACAATTTAATGAAATAAAAAATTTAATACAAAAATAAATAAAATTGATATAGAGGTTTAGAGCACATTAATGTAAATTTATTATTTTAAATTTTACAGACACTTAAATATATTATACATTTAAATTAATAAAAATTATAAGTTAAGAGCTATTTTTGTCGTAGTTATTTCAGTTTCCTTCATTTGTTAATAAATATAAATAAATTTTTAATTTATCAATTTAGTTAGTATTAATTATCTAAATAGTATTAAATGTTTAAGTAAAAATTACCTGTATTGTTTATATCTAATATTAAAAATTTATAGCTAATTTATTGGGAATTATATTCTATTAAATTGATTCTACAGATAAAATTCAATAGCTAGAGTTTTTTTTAGTAACGGAATTGAAAAATATTAAAAAACTGAGGAAAAAATATCTAAATGAATGCCAAATTTTTGATCAAGAGGAAAAAGATAATTTTTTAAATTAAAATCAAGAACACTGTAAAACTATATTGGAAGAGATTTTCAAACGCAACTGCTGCATGTCTCAAGGTCGCCATGTCTTTCATCGCAATCCTCCTCCAAGTTACATCAATAGCGCTCAGTAACCTCTTTTCGCCACATTATACGAATATAAATTTCCCAATGCACGGCGTAATTAAAACTTTCAAACACAATTCTGTCATTGGGTACTCCATTTGACACCTTTCCATTTTCAATTCTACATTTTTATTGATCAGGAGAAGGTGCACAGTCATATTTCTTCAAAGGCGGAGATGAAAGGAAGAAAGTGAAACAATGCAGGGTGGGAATGTCAATGTATTGTTAGCGGGAAATAATGTTTCCTTTAATCTCAATAATCAGTTGCGATGTCGAGGGACGAGAAACATGACGTTGGCTGCTTTTGCAAAAGCGTTGTTGTTTCTGGAGTTGCGTTTTTAGTTGGGCTGGTGCTTTGGTGCACTCCAATGCCAGGTATAGAAAACCCTTCCAAATTTATACAGTAGGATTCAATGTGTTTAATTATATTATAATTTTATTAATATTCTAGTTGGTCAGTTTTTTTAATTAATTACTCAATTTCCACTTGTTTGAAAATTTGTCAGTTGATTGGACATAAGATATTTTTTCTCAATATTTTTAATTTTCAATATTAATTAAAAAATATTATACAAATTCGATAAACAAACCCTAGGTTTTATTAAGAAGTTTAACCATAGCATACATTGAACGATTGTAAATTAATACATTTTTAAAATGTAATTTATTTATTTTATATTTAATATTTACTTATTTTTATTTATTTAATGAAACTAGAGAAATATTCTTTTAATATAAAATTTATTAAATGAAACTATTATTTATAATATATTTTACAATTTAATAACAACAAAATTATTATAATTTTTATTACAATAATTGATTTATTATAATTTTTTTTTAAATAATAAACTCGCACATACAAACCACTGTTTTGTTAACTCGAGAAGTGTTTTATTTCAATTTTTTTGCAAACATTTAATTGCAACAATGATTTAACAATGGCCACACGAAACCTTAAACAGTTATTCTGCAACCTGCCGCCAAGAAATTATGGGATACACTAAGCACGTTTCAATTAAAAATCTTTTCGGGATATTCACTTGCTTACTTGCTTATGGGTTTTGCCGGTGCTAAATTTGCATGTGAATTATTTAAAATTCACAAATAACTGTTAGGCTATTTAAAAAAAAAATAAACATTGCTATGTTTTAGACCCTTTTTTTATGTCCTGCGATCGACCATGCCACGAGCTTGATTGGCCCATGATTTGCAGAATCAAGCTGACATTCGAAGTTTACCAAACACTCAGCAGGTATTAATTCCCAAGTCTCATTCAAACCACGTAGCTAAAATTTGTTCAGTTCTTGCGGTGCTTGTCCCCGAAACCAGACTGATTGCTGGAGCCCGAATTGCGTGACGGCCGACGGATTCAAAAGAGGAATCCTCACCGCCAACAGACAATTGCCGGGGCCGAGCATTCACGTACCTATTCAAATCTAACCATTAATTTTGATTAAAGAATATTAATTTTGGCGTGATTTAGGTCTGCGAAAACGATATTTTGGTGGTGGACGTTGTGAACAGAGTCCCTGGCCACGGGTTGGCGGTGCATTGGCGAGGAGTGCCGCAGAAGGACACGCCGTTTATGGACGGCGTCCCTATGGTGACGCAGTGTCCCATCCCGAGCTACACCACTTTCCAATACAAATTCAGAGCGACCAGACCTGGCACACATTTGTGGCACGCACACAATGGTAATTTCAGTAATTTCTCCAAATTTTTAGTTTTTAAGCAACAAAAAGATTAAATTTATGGACATATTTGAACTGAACTGTAAAAGCAAGAATTTATTTAAAATCAGAGATTATTACTATGGCCGGCTTTTTTTGTGTTTGTTTGAGATTTTATTATAAAAATTTACCAATGAACTAAAAATTTTAATTGAAAAAGGGGATTTCAAAATTAAATTGAGAGCAACTGAGCGGTTTTGTTTTTAAATAATTAAATGCCGACTCTCTTGTCTTCCATAATTTTATTCAAAGGTGCCGAAATGGCCGACGGTCTTGCCGGTGCCCTTGTGGTGCGCAGGGCCCCCGCGCGAGAGCCCCACAGGGCCCTTTTCGACGAAGACCGCAAGGAGCACGTGATTGTTGTGTCCGAGTGGACTCATTCATTTGCTCTGCAGCGTCTTCTCCAGGCCGACCAAGGCTCCGTGGCCGCCGACGCCTTGCTCATCAACGGAAGAGGCGCTTCGAAGGTACAATTAAAAAAAGTCAAGGTCAATTAATTTGGAAATAAATGCAAATTTTTTCAAGGACGGATTTCCTCCTGCTTCGTTTCAAGTGCAGCCTGGCGTCAGGTACAGATTCAGGCTGGTGCACGCTGGAGTGATTTCGGCGTGTCCTCTCAAGGTCAGCGTAGAGGGTCACTCGATGAAGGTCATCGAAATCGACGGTAGCCCCGTCAGGCCCAAAGATGTTGCCAGCATCACTCTTGCATCAGGTAATTCAATATTATTTGAATTTAAAAAAATAAGTTTTCCCTTTTTTTTACTTCCATTTTGCATATTTTATTGTTTATGTTTTGTGCCAAAAATTTAAATATTGATATCTGAATTTGGATACATTGGTATATATTTTCTTGATCAATTTCTCAATTCTCCGTAATTTTTTTTACTGCTTGTAAATTTTAGCTTTTTGTTTTAATTCTGTAAAAGTCCAGTGTTTTTAGTTTTTCATGAAAAACTAAATTTTATTTTATAATTTTTCCTTCTTTTTACTACTTACTTTTTTTTGTTCAAAAGGAGAGAGAATTGACTTTGTCCTCGACGCGTCTGCCTCTCCGAAGTCCTACCCTCTCAGAGTGCATTCCACCTGCACCGCTCTGGAACAAACCGCCCTTCTGCAGTACTTTGAGTCCCCCGAAAAGACCAAAATGAAACGGGAACTGCTGCCGTTGGAGCTGAAAATTGCGTCCAACGTGCAGTTTCTGGACAGCGCCAGCCACAACTGCGGCACCGCTGAAGACGAAATTGTCTGTCTCGGGGAACTTGAAGCCCTCGACCCTGTGCACTCCAGCCTTAGCAAAGTCAAGGTAGATTTAGAATTGGAGCTGCCGTTTGAGTTTTCCGCCGTCAACAACCACAGCCTTGGCTCATACATAGGCAAGTTCTATTGTAAAACTCAATTTAGTTTGTTAAATTTAATCTTAAAAATAATTTCAAATTTATTTTTATTTTATTTAATAAATTATTTGATTTGAAATCCGATATTGTTGATGCATATTAATATGTAAAAACAAAAATCGCATAATCTTTTCATTTAGCTAAGAGTTTTATTATTTTTAATTCAATTAATTGCACAATTAAAATCATATGAAACTTTGACACTTTTTAAATGAGCATTTTTCAATTAATTATTAATTTGTAATTTTAATTATATTAAAAAATGATTTTAATAAACATTTTTTACTAATGAAAAAGTAAACTTGTTTTTAGTGAGTCAAGATCCTGAAGTGAAAATTCCTCACGTGTCCAACCTGACCTTCATGTACCCGCCGTCCCCTTTGGTGACCCAGGCCGCAGATGTGCCGCGCGAGTTGCTTTGTCACGCTGAATCGAAGCCGCAAGGATGCGAAAAGCCGCCTTGCGAGTGCGTGCACCAAGTGGACGTCCCGCTCGGAGCTTCGGTGCAACTTAATTTGCATGACAAAGGTACAATTTTTTAAGATGATAAAAGGTTTTGACACTTGCAAAAATATAAAATGACTCTAGAAAATCAGAGAGTGAAAGTGTTACATGATACTATGTTTTTCTAGGCGACGCGGTAGGTGAAGGTCACGTGTTCCATTTGCACGGCCACTCGTTTCATGTTGTGAAAAGACTTGCGAAAAGCGTGTCTCTCTCGCCTGCAAAGGATTCCATCTCCGTCCCAGCCGGTGGCAGGATTGAAATCAGATTTCTTGCAGACAATCCAGGTAGACAGTTTATTAAAATTTTTAATAAAATTGTTATTGAAATTAAAAAAAAATTAAAATTTGTACGAAATATGATTTGATTTGTGTTTAAATTATTTAGGTTACTGGATGTTGCATGACCAGCACATTGGGCACTCGGCTCGGGGGCTGGGCTTGTTGATCCACGTGGGTGAAGCGTGGAATCTGCCCGCAGCACCCCCAGATTTCCCAAAATGCGGCAGTTGGAGAGGTCCAGACTTTTTCCTAACCTAATTTTTCCGTTTTTCTTTGGTACAAAAAGTCTTCCAGTCAAGACGCTCAACAGACTGCTAATTTTTTAATGAAAGAGGCAGATTTTGTGATATTAAATAGTTTAAATTAATTTGCTGCCTAATGTGGTTAAAATTTAATCCCAATTGAACTCGTTCTGGAATTAAAATTATAGCCACGTTTTGACACTGTTAAAGATTTCATAATAAAGGAGTGATATATTGTGTCATTGTATGTTGTATGAATAGTGACATTCCATTTTTGTTTTTCAAATAAACGGGCCGACAATTCGTTTTGTTGCCGCTTGACAAAAGTTAATTTTTTTTTTTATTATTTGATAACTTGTCTCCCTAGAGCCGTCAATGAAAAATTGCATTATTTGAGTGTCCCGGTGGCCTACTTGGAGGAGCCTGTGCTAGAGCAAGTCATGACTTGCACTTGCATTCATCCAACGGCGCAAGGGCTTCTGGATGGATGCATTTGACTCACTTTCTCTTTCATGCAGCAAATTATCCATGACACTTGCAACTGCATCTACGTCTGTTTCATTGCAAAATCAAGATGCACAATCAAATGCACGCACTGTAATTTTCAATTGATTGGATTTCCTGATGTAGTTTTTATTTGTGTGTTAATAATAATATCCTTTTTAAAATTACATAAATAAATAGATAAAAAATAAATTTAATCGTTTAATTTATTTTCTATTTTATTCATAATATTTTAATACAATTTTTATATCTTCATCTAGACTGTTAGCCAATGAATTCTTTGCTAGTGTTGGCGGTGCCGTTTGGTCAAAAATTTTGATTTCTTTTATACACCAAAATTGTGTTGATTTCTATATAAAATTATTTTCACGGTGTGGAAAATAAAAATTAATTTTATAGTTATATCGAAAAATTTTTGATATTGTATTACAATTTTTTTTCTGTATAGAAGTGCAGAATTGCAGCGATAATATTTATTTACAATTATTTCCTGATATTGCTTAAGTATCATAGCTCTTTAACTTATCCAAACATAAAATAAACATAATGAATCACTTTTTAAAAAGAGTACTTTTTGCAGCCACCTGTTAAGTGTGTGCAATTACCCACTAATATAAGAAAGTGCCGTGGCGAATTTCGTCGAGTTTGGTCATCGTTTTTCTTTCCTTTATAATAAAGCAGCCCGCGTGGCGAATCACAAAGTGTGAATTGCTCAAAAACGCGACTAGTGTTATATCATAACAGAGCAGCGGCGGCGGGAGTGAAAGTGAATCGAGGAGGTAGGCAAAGTCTGCGCCGGCAGTCAGTGTTGTTTCTTTAGCGCGACGTGCAATTTGCTGGGGATTATTGGCGTCGTTCGCCACTTCCACCAACCCCTCGCCCAGAACATGAAGAAGACCGGCGAGGGGATGTTTGTTTTATTTATATTTTTCATGTTCTGTAAGTAAAATTTATTTCATTTTTAATATTATATAAACGATATTTTTTTTTTCTAAATTTACATATCTATTAAACTTTAATAGATTGTTACGTCTAGTTTTTTATTTTATTATTTTAAATATAAATGACAAAAATTTTGCGAAGTCAATTATACATACTTGCTGTGTTAATATTACTTGCACCAGATTTATATAAATTTCTTGCATGCACGAGTAGTGTAATAAAAATGCTGATGCAGTAAATAGTGGTAAATAGCATAAAAGCCAATTTTGTTGACATGTATAAGGTGTGAGAGAGATTATATTTGCAGCAAAATAAGATTTTGCAATAAATTTAATTTTTTCTTTAATATATAACTTGCTTTGTTTAAATCAAACTGAGGAAAGTGCATTATTTTCGCACGGCCGCAGTAATGATAATTGACGATGAATGTTTCCACAGTGCGTTTTACTCTCGCAGCCTCTGTACTTCCCATCTTATGCAACAAAACTGGTTTCTCATATAAAGGAAAACGATTTGTTTTGCGTAGCAACAAGAGCGCTCTTTTAAACTAACTCAAGTCACCATGGTTCTCAGGACCAAAATAAGTAAATAAATTAAAATTAATCAGTGCAATCTGAAAAATCAATTCAATGTTTAGAAACGATCGCCTTGCCGCGATTATTTTTTAATTCAATTTACTTACCAATTAATTTATTCATTAAATTTGTTTCTCTCATATTGATTTTACGATTAAATTGAATTATTTTATTTTTGTTTTAGCATAAATAATTACAGTTTTCTATCAAATTGTAGAAGAAAACTTTCGAACAATTTAAAAATCATATTTGACTATTTAATTGTTAAAACAAAACATACTGTTTAAAACCAGCAACTTCATGTGCGTGGTCCTGTATTCTTAATTTTGTCTGCTAAAAATTATATCAATCTTGAATCTTGACCTTGCAAAACATTTCTGACGAACCAACTTTCACTGCTGTTTGATGGAGGTCGCGAGGAAACACTCGGCTGAATATTATATTAAAATACCGGCGATGAATGAATGATGATGCATTTTTTTTCCATTCTTTCAGGCTTTTTGTGCGCATTTGGCCACCCATGTGAGCGACAATGTGATGACGGCAGCGAGCCGCTCAAGTGCCATTACAAATTTACCCTCCACGCTAGTGTTATTGAGTAATTATCTGTAGAAATATAATTTTATTTCTATATAAAATTACTCTGGAATTTAATTTTCAGCTGTGATCACTGCCAAAGAAACGCCACTTGTGGTGGGGGAAGTTGCGAATTTAGTAGAAAATTAGCTTTGACTATAAACAAAAAGTCTCCAGGACCAACAATCAAGGTTAAATTTTTAATTTCTTTTTTTTTAGATTTTAATTTTTTGATAATTAAGGTCTGCAAGGGAGACCAGATTGTGGTTGACGTGGTAAACCGACTGCCTGGAAGTTTTGAAACGTCGATCCACTGGCATGGAGTTTTGCAAACGGGCACTCCGTATTACGACGGCGTGCCGAAAGTGACGCAATGCCCGTTGACCCCAGGCTCTTCCTTCAGATACTCGTTTTCAGCCGAAAATCCTGGAACCCACTTTTATTACGCCTCTTCTGGTAACTAAAATGGTTTTTTCTGATATTAAAAAGCGTTCAATTAAATTAAAGGATGTAAAATAAAAAAAAAATCCTTTGGAGGAAAAATTTTTCAGTTCTATTTACTTTCAAAGTCATCTTTGGTAACTAGAAAAATAATAGCTCTGCCAATTCGAGTTTTAATTATAATTAAATGACTGTTTGTCCCGCCATAGCTACAATCATTGTATGTTGAATAATAGGTTTTTTTACAGAATTGGAGTGCAGAAAAATAGCAATAAGAAAATTTTAATTATAATTGATTTTCTTAAAATGATCAATTTTTTTCCTATGGAATTTTGTTTAACAAAATATGTATGTCATGTCCCAAAGTTTCCCAGCACGCTGACGGCATTTACGGCGCTTTGATTGTGAACGAGCCTCAAAAGTACAAACACGAAGAACTGCTGTTGATTGGAACAAGAAATTACGCCCTTTTGAGTGGAGCGTACGGAGCAGTTCAAGGTGCATTGGTTGGGCTCAACAGACCGATCGCGAAAATCGTTCTGAACGGAAAAGCAGTGCATGAGGTTGAGAAAATAGTTTTAATTTTTGCATCAATAATTATGACTTAATTAAAGAAATTGGATGAATTCGATGTCACGGAAGGAGAAACGGTTTTCAGAGTGATCAATGCTGCTGCATTTGATTGTCCGGTAGAAATGACTCTGGAAAATCACGTGTTTAAAGTTTTAAATGTCCAAGGTGCAGACATTTTGCCGATATACGTTAAAAAGCTCACCATTTATCCTGGTAATGTGTCAATTTTATTTTCAAATAATTTATAATAAGCATTTTATTTGACAGGGGAAAGATATGACATGCAAATTTTCCTCTCGGGAGAGCCGTGCAAATATTGCCAAATGCAGATTTCCGGTCTGCACAAATGTGGCCAACTGGAAAAATTGAAAACAATCGTCAGACCTGCTGAAACTCGAGAAATTATTAACAAAAAACCTTTTAAAGTAGAATTTTATAAAAATAGCGAGAATTAAATACATATTAAAAAAAATTATTTAAATAGACTTTGTCTGCGAATTGCACCGAGGATTCCAACAACTACTGCAGTGCCCAATTGGAAAGTCCCGATTCACCAAATTTCGAGTTCATTCCCGACTTGACCTTTTTCCTCTCATTTGGTTTGAACAAAGTTTCCCAAGTGTCCGTCGACGACGTTGAATTCAGATTTGTTTTGAACGACATTGAATACTACCCAACATTTCTGGACAGTGGTATGAATTTCTTATTAAGAGATTTACAATTATTTTTACTAAAAATTAAAAATAGGCGACGAGGATCCAACCCTTGCACCACAAATTAACACCGTCTCATTCCGACCCCCTTCAACCCCTATTCTGACGCAATACGAAGACAGGAACGAAGCGACCGAGTGCGAAACCTACGCCAATCTGGTCCCGAGCGCGGCAAACCGGCCGCCGACCACTTGCAAAAGTGCACCTTACTTTTGCGAGTGCGCCCATTTCATTAGGGCCGGAGTAAATGCGACTGTAAAACTAGTCTTCAAGCATGATGGTAAAATGAAATTAAAATTTAGATTTTCCGGAGAAAATTAATTTTTCGGATCTTTTTCAAGGTATAAGTAATGAGGCTGTCGCTTTTCACATGCACGGCCATAAACTGTACGTGGCCAACTGGCAACAGGCGGGACGAGAAGGGAAAAGCAACCAGAGGCCCATCTGCAGGGACACAATTGTGGTGCCTCCAGCAGGAGAGGTTACTGCATTTTTCAAGGCAGACAATCCTGGTAAATTCAATTTTTCAAATTATCAACAAAGTTTATATGAGCCCTGGAATTAGGCAAGTTCGGGATTCAGGCCAGTTGTGTTGCTCAATTGCCTTAGATTCCAAATTTCAAATTTTTTTGAGGCTCATAAAGACAATTTTTTAGTCATAAGAGAATTAAATTTCATCAAAAAATTAATGCTTTATTATTAATCATAATTTTGATGCATATTCAATTATTTAAAGTCAAGCTTTTCTTGCAAAGTTTTGGTAAAACCACAGAAATACATACTTCTCAGAAACATTACTCTGAAAATGCTTTACACTTAACAATACAGACATAAAAGACAATATAAATTTCTCGTAAACTAATGAGAACAAAGTCTACAAAGAATTATATATAAACACACACTAACCACAATTGAATTATTAATTTAATTAATATCTCACATAAATACTGCAAACATTATTTACTTCAATAGAATTGTAACCTTATAAAACGCGATCTTAAATTTTGTATAATGACATAATATTGAATCTATGTAATAAATTTAATGTTAATCAGAAACAATTCTAGCAGAGTTAAAAAAATATATATCATTACTATTAACTCTTGAAATTTTAAACTGTTAACATTTAATTAGAAAATGCTAAAAAATTCATATTTTTATGTTGAATAGGATTTTGGCTACTAGAAAGTCGTGCTGGCCACATAACTTCGGCCGGCGTTGGTATGGCCCTTATCGTCCAAGTTGGCACTCCCAAAGATATCCCTTCGCCTCCAACTGGATTCCCGACTTGCAGAGGATTGAAGCCTGACGACTTTATATTTTAAATTATTATTTTTTTAATTAAAAATAGTCAAGTTTATTGAAAAATATATTGGTTTTATTGAAAGATCGAGTTGACAAAATTTGAAATTTTGTATCAATCAGTCGTTCATGTGATTCTCTTTATTCTCCAGTCATGACCTCCATGAACTCCTCAAAGTCCACAGTTCCCGAGCCGTCAGAGTCGATTTCCTCAATCATGTCGTCCAAGTCGTCGGCGTTGATGGTGTTGTCGAGCTCGCGGAAAATCTCCTTGAGCACGTCGGTGGTGATGTAGCCGTTGCCCTCCTTGTCGTACAGACGGAAGGCCTCCTTCAGCTCCTGCCGCATCGCCTCAGGGTCTTCCTCCTCCACCATGAAACGCGAAGACAACATGCAGAACTCTTCAAACTCCAGCTGGCCAGACCCTGCACGGTTAAATTATATTTTATCGTCAACTTTTTCAATCGCACAATTATTTATTTTTAAATAATTATATCTTTGCGTTTCTTACCGTCAGCGTCAACCTCACTGATGATTTCATTGATTTCGTCATCATCAATCTGGATGCCAAGCATTTCAAAAATTGTGCCAATCATGTCAGTCGAGATGAAACCGGCCTTTTCACGGTCAAAGGCGTCAAATGCCTTCTTCAGCACTGAAAGTAAAAAAAGGATTTTTTTTATTTTCCTTTCTAATTGGAGGTTTAAAAATGAATTTGTAGGTTTACTCACTATCTTTTTGTTCCTTGCTCAAATCCTCCTGTAAATTTTAATCATAATTTTATAAATTCAATTGCTACAAAAAAAAATGTAAAAAAAATTAAATTACATTGTCAAAACTGAATTTAATTTAAAAGGAAATATCATTTATCCATACAAAAAAGGTATTAACCAAACATAATTCAGTAAAAACTAATTTAATAAATTAATTAAAAAAAATTATAATTCAGTAGAGAGAAACGAAATAATTTGATCATTATGTGGCTATAGTTAAAATTTTTTTTTTTTTTTTTACAAACTTTGCTTAACTTTGCTTAGGATAAAGTGCTATTTACTTTTTAAATAAGTAAAATATTATTTCCAATCCTGGCAATTCTATTGAAATTTTGAACCTTCATTGTAAAATATTTAAAAAGAGCGTGCTGTACTCACCATGGCTTGCGCGTGCTTTTACGATTAGTAATGAGTCGCTAGCGAAAACTTGGGCACGTCAATTGGCTGACGACTGAAAGTTGAGTGGCTACTATAGCTGTCTTTGATCAGACGCGCCGCTTTATACTTGAGGGGAGTAAATCAATTAGCGCGGCGAAAGGGGTGCTGCACTCATTTTTAATTAAAGGTCGATTAGCAACTCATTGCAGCGCGTTTAAAATCAACTATAACACTTAACGCTGACGTGTCCAGTGCCGTTTTTGCAAAATGAATAAATCAGCTGTAAAGAATGAGCAATTTTGGACAATCTGCAATAATCGAATGGGACTATCTCAAGGTCAATTAATTGAATATGCACAATTGAGAGGTAACTTAATTGCTAAGTTACTAATTTTTCATTGCTGGCAATAATATATCAGACAAATTTTTTTTACTAAAAAAAGAAAAATTGAATTTTATGGATTTTCTACAACTTTTTAATTAAAGTTCGCCTTTAAAAACAGCATTTCCAAAAGGAAATGACCGCGTGTATTATTTGAACACCATTGCCATGTGACAGGATCCATAGGTGAAATAATAGTTATAATATGAATAGGCTGCAAACGAAATTTTTTCCAATTTAATTTTTTAGGCTTCAGTTGGGGATACGTCATTTTATATTGATTACAATTTTTGCATATTTAAGTTTTAGACTCATGCATTTTATTTTGGAAGTCTCGGAACAGCATAATTATATGCAATGAAAACCTTAAAAAAAAATGTTAAGTGAAAACATGTCCGTCTTAAAAACAAATTGTTTACCAATTTTGGAGTGTCAATTTGAGAAATTTTTAAATATTGATAGAAGATATTTAACACGGTTGGCAGTTTTGAGGAGAAAGTATTTCAATTAAGGTTCTTCAATAAAATAATTTATTATCGATTTGTTTTCTTTATTATTCACAAGAAAAGATTGTTTTTTAATACACATAAAACTCTGGACCAAAATTAAATTATTTCTTACAAAAAAAAAAAAAAAAACTCGACTTTCAATAATTAATAAACCTATTCAACTTTCAGCCAATTTTCATATGTATACAAGTGGTAGACTATACTATGGTCAGGATATCAGGAATATTTAACAACAAGACACAGCATGAGGGTAAACTGCAGATGTGCAAATCCGAATACAAAAGCGTTCAACTTGGCGACTCGCGACTTTTTGGAGATGTCGAGTTTATGGACTAAGCTCAATAGCTCAATGGACGTGAATATAATTAATAACTGAAATTTGAACAATCCAGTTTAATTAATATTTAATTATAATTAAAATCAGTTATGACGTTAAATCAGCAAAAAAATTAACTTTCCCTTTAAAATTTGATTATAAAGAAACTAAACATTTTACAACTTTTTTAACACACTCCAAAAATAAATATAATAGTTGATTTTAAAATAATTAAAATTGAAGTTTTATGTTTCATAAATTAATACATTAAAAACTGATTTTCCGTATTACAAATAATGGCTTTTATTTTAATCAGTCCATATTTATAGCTATAATTTCTCCATCTCATTAAATAATATTTTACCTTTGGATAACAAAAAGGGATTTTCATTTCGAAGTTTTAGATTTGCTTGCATGGAAAATAAATATTTTTATTCAAAATATACACACAATCATCAAATAAAAAATAAAATTATTTGAACAAGTTGCAATAGTGCTCTTATTATTACTCTCCCGTCATGACTCCCATGAACTCCTCAAAGTCCACAGTTCCCGAGCCGTCAGAGTCGATTTCCTCAATCATCTCGTCCAAATCCTCTTCAGTGATGGTGTTGTCGAGCTCGCGGAAGATTTCCTTGAGCGTGTCCGTCGTGATGTAGCCGTTGCCCTCCCTGTCGTACAACCTGAAAGCTTCACGCAACTCTTGTTGCATCTTCTCAGTGTCCTCCTCTACCAGGAAGCGCGCGGACAAAACGCAAAAGCTCTCAAAATCCAAATTGCCCGTTCCTTGAATTTAGAAAAGAAAAAAATTATTATCACCAAGAAATTAATTTTAAATAAATATGCACCTTCCGAGTCCATTTCCACGACGATTTCCTCAACGTCTTCGTCGGAAATCTGGATGCCGAGCATCTCGAGAATGGTACCAATCATGTCAGTACTGATAAAGCCCTTCTTTTCTCTGTCAAAGGCATCAAACGCCTTCTTGAGCACTACAATTTTCAATAAAACGTTATTTAGATTATTTCCAGTGAAAGCATTTAATTTAAATAAATCCATGAGAATTTTCGGTTCAGGCTGGAAATCCAATCAAATTTTTAAAAAGCAATGTAATCGTAAGAAATTGATAATAATGAAACAAATAAAAGCGAAGTTAAAATTAAATCAATATGAATTCCACCTCGATTGTTTATTTCTTCTACAAAGAGAAATCAATAAATATATTAATAAAAATTTTTTCCATTTATTAAGTTCTTTTGAATATATCTTAATATTAAATTAGGACACTTTTTAATGTCCTTTCAAATTTTAATGATCACTGATCAATATGTAGATTTGAAAATTATCCATTAAAGTTTTTATTTTGAAATTTTGCAAAGTTTTATTATTTTATTTGCCGATGATTTTCGGGAATAAATATACTGTACTAAAAGAAACATTTTAAGGTATTTAATAGATAAGTATAGATTACTTACTGCTAACTTGGTCGGGAAGAAGCTCATCCTGTTTTGGGTAAAAATTTAATTACTTCATGAACTTGTTCAAACTTAAAAGTTGAAACTCACCATGGCGGTGGATTAGTTAATGCAAAGGACCGAATGGACACTGACGATCGATATACACCAGTGAGGAAGCGGCAGTGCTATAAATCATCTCACGCCAGAGGGGAAGTTGCGGACCATCAAAATCAATCAATGAATTGAGGGGGCAAATCAAAGCAAAGGTCATAAATCAAATAAGTGCGCATTTGTCAACCAACTGTAAATTCCCGGCGCTTTACATTGTTTGGCGCCGCGCGTGTGTGGTCCCATTTTGCAACGTTTGCCAACGGACTATAATCTATTAATCGGAATCATAATAATTTTGTTAAATTAAAAAAAAATGGTTAAATAAAGGCGACACTTCAAAATAACCAAATTAACTTTATTGCGGTAACAAATTAGCATTCCATCATCTTGGCTTATAGTAACAAAAAGGAATGACCCCTGGCCCAGCAAGAGTCTTTATAAGTTGTGTAAGAATCGAAAAGGTGGTCCAGCCATCACTGTCGGTGTTCCTGTTGCTGCTTTTAGTGGCATAATGTTGACTGAGTTTAATCGTCTCCACCGGTCATGACCTCCATGAACTCTGCAATTATATGTTATTTTTCATTGATTAACACAAGCAAAAATTTATGATAAATATTTTTCAATTAATAAGTAAAGATTCAAGTCCACCTTTTTCAAATAAAGTTGAAAACTTCAACTGCAAAAATGATCTTGTCTAAATTGTATTATTTAAACTAGTGTTGCTATGTATCACATCATCACATGTTTTACAATTATGAATTAAAAAATGGTCTAATATTCTAATATTGTTGAAGAAAATAAAGGCAAATTACAGAAAAAAAACTGAATTTTTTAATTCAATTCATCAATAACTGGAGCAATAAAAGATAGTCCTGAAAGAAGCATTTAAAGAAAGACCAAGAGCATCAATCAACGAAGTCTTAAAAAGCGTATGTACACTGTTTGTAACCTTTGATCTCCTTGCAATCAATTCGTTCCAATTGAATCATCATAATTTACTATAACATGGTTTGAGAAAAAGGACATTAAAAAGATTAAAGCTTGGGTTCTCATGATACTTCCATAAAATACAAATTCATTTCAATTGAGCATGATACCAGTAGATTTAATTTAAATATGAGAAAAAATATATTTTTTGAAAAAGCTACAATTCAAACAACAGAAGCAATAATAATAATAATAACAATAATAATAATTCTTTGATAACTTATAAATAAAAATATTTTTAAAATTGTAAAAAATTGAACAAATAGCATTTAAAAACTACATACTTGAAATTTATAATTACAATGTAATGTGTTATTATTTAATTTTTTAAACTAACTTTCTTTTTTGATCAAAACTAATGCAGTTTTCAATTTGTATGTTGTTATTGTTGATTAATTCAAAAAATGTGTTCTAACTAAATTAAACAGAAAAAAATACCGTCAAAGTCCACGGTGCCGGAGCCGTCAGAATCAATTTCCTCAATCATCATGTCCAAGTCATCGCTGGTGACTTTGTCGTCGAGCTCGCGGAGGATTTCGCGGAGCACGTCGGTGGTGATGTAGCCGTTGCCCTCCTTGTCGTACAGACGGAAGGCCTCCTTCAGCTCCTGCTGCATCGCCTCAGCATCCTCCTCAATCAGGAAGCGCGACGACAACATGCAGAACTCCTCAAACTCCAGCTCACCGGAGCCTGCGGATTTTCAATAATTTCATTCTAACTTGTAGCGAAATTAAAAATTAATTGTTTACCGTCAGCGTCAACCTCAGCGATGATTTCCTCAAACATCTTGGCGGTCACTTGGATGCCCAACATCTCAAGGATGGTGCCGACCATCTCGGTGGAGATGCAGCCCTTCTTTTCGCGATCGAAGGCATCGAAGGCCTTCTTCAGCACTGAAAATTTAATTTCATGTATTAAGGCTAGTTAAATTTTATTTGAAACATTAAAAATTTAATAATTTGTCCTTTTTTACTTCATATTTTTAGAAAGAATGTCCATTTAACTTGTTATTGGAAATAATTTCAAATAAAAATTATATGTTTTAAAAATACTTGAAATTTTTATTTACGTTCTTCAATTAATTTTTATCGCAATTAATTCCAATTATAATTTTAGGTATGTTTTTTCAAATGTTACTCCAATTTCAGTTAATTATTAATTATGTTTCTAAACTAAAAAAGTTTACTCACTGGTAATCTGCTCCTGGTTAAGATCATCCTGTAATTTGAGAAAAGCTTGTTTAGTCTCCAATTATTTATATCCCTGCTTCAAAGAACTTCAGCAATAAACTGGCGGGTTGTGGAAAAGAGTTCAAAGGAGCTGGTTTCGGCAAATGAGCGCGAATTCGTTACACGCTTAGAATAGAAGATGTCATAAAGTGAGACAAAGGCCGCCGATTTTATGACGCTGCATGCGCCAGCGACGAACACGCGGAATACATATTGTTTTTTTTTATCCGCGTGGCTATTTTCGTCTCTCTAGCAACACCGGACTTAAAAAAGGAGACTTCTATAGCGAAATCAATTTTTTATAAACTATTCCCAGCTTCTTTGGTACCAGTCAGTGGAAGTGAAACAAATAAATTCAACAAAAATTAAAACATCCATCATTGTGCAAAATAAATCCTAAAATAAATCAATTAAAATTTGAATTCTCAATAAAACAACTATTTAGATTGATAGCAAATTAAATAAAATAAAAATTTATTAATTTAATAAAATTGGTAGAAGTTTAAGTTATAAAATTGCAATCACTTTGTGCTAAATCTATTTTAAAATAAAATAAAACGCTTAAAGCAATTAATTTTTTTCACATAATTATGGATTAAATAGTGAAGTTGGTGATTAAAAGTGAAGATCACTGGATTTTGAGATATACCATGGCGGTGGCTGAGTTGAATCTGTTGGGGCTGGACCAGAGTGGTGGGACGCGGAATCCTCGGGAGCGGCACGAGGAACCAGTACAGACTGAGAGGGTGCCCGGCCGGGGCTCTGGGTATCAAGTGGAGAGTTGTGTGGGGGGATGCGATCGCGTCATCACAACAAGGATCACAATAGTTCGCCATCGGCTAGTAAAATATTTCTAAATTTACCAAAAAAGAAGTGTAAGAGCGGTTATTTGCGGCCTTATCGAGCCCAGGCGTATAGTCCTTTCCCACGCTGCTCCGTCGAATCCAAGCACACGCAAATAAATTGCTCGTCTCTCGCATATCTGGGCCACTCAAAGTCACTCACATTTAAGCAAACCGCCGGGTAAACTGTAATGAGATGAAACCTTTGGAGATTTATTAACATGGGAAATAGAGACACAAATTTTGAGTAGACGTTTGAGATATTTTTTTTAAACGATTTCTCAATCAACTGATAAATTTTTGATGCAGTGCATAAGTATATTATTACACAAAAATATTAATTTATTATTTTTTAATTGAATATGACTTTTTAATGTTCAATACATTTTTAGTCAATTTAGTGTTGCTATTAAATAATTACTTATCTTTTAATTACAATTAAATAACCTTCCAATCTGACGAGATCTCCAATTTGGATTATAACTTTTCAGTATATTGAGATAATCTGGTGAAATTGATTAGAAAAATTTATATCTATACAAACTAAAAATACAATTTTTTTTTATTAATATTTAAATATCCTATGAAAATAATAAGCAATAGCAATAAAATATTTAAAATTTCATAAACAATTAAAATTACCAACAAATTAAAAAATATCAATTTTTATAAAGCAATATGTAGTTGAATGGTAACACTCGAGGTGGATTTCATGAAAAATTGAAACCGGGCGGACCTCGTTAGTTGGGACACGACAAAACCCCAGGTTTTCAAAGTACCAGCAGACCTCGGGTCGCCTTTTGTATGTCAGTTTTCCTTTATTTTTTAATTTTTTCTTTGCAATGTGGTTCGCCTGGTTTCAATTTCTCATAATATGTAGATATTTATAATTAAATTCTTATAAAAAAAATAATAATAAACAATTTTTTTTATTTGCTTCCGTTTAATTATCTGGTTCCTGCTTCTCCGCAAGCATAAATAAATTAATTAAAGCAGCCACTTGAGCGCTACTTTTCTACCCACACTTACTGCCTTGCTTAAGTCCTATGCTGCACTAAAGTTCTTTGAGCTGACAAAAGATCAATTAAGTTATGGAATTCAATCAATATGTCCCCCTTTTTTAAAATTTGCAGACTTTTTTCAACTCGAGGAAGCAAAATATGCTAAGTTATCGCTCTACTACAAAACAAAAGATATGAGCTAGAAAGAACCTTTTTTTAATGGAATTTTTTGTGACAAGAAAGACATGCATTCGTGGGGGTTTCACTTCCTCTTCTGTGTTATAATAAAATTGTAACCAGAAGTTATGTATGAATGTGAAACTACTTATTTAATTCATCATATATTAAAAAAAAAGAATAATTTTGTAGGCAGGACTCAAATAGATTATCTTGTATTGTTTCTGTTCACTGCATTAGATCTCAAAGAAATAGTTTAAATGCAATTAAACAAAATAGCTTATATTTTATTTTAATTATAATAAAAAAATCAAAGCAAATTAGTAAATAATATAAAATAAACAAATTCATGAAATACTTCATTTTTTTTCACCATCGTAAACTAATAAAGTAACTTACCATTTCCTTACTGCGGCGTTAGTATTAAAAATTTTTTTATTTAAATTATTTAATATTTTCATTATAGTTATAAATTTTTTTAATAACTTAAAGAGCGTAAAATTTGCCAAAAAATTTTATCAAGCATAGAAGTCATCTGAAAAATATGCCAAATCTGATAAGGCATAATATGCGTTGGTCCGCTTGGAGAGCGTTGCTTGGCCGTCTCGACTCAAGTTCACTTTTGCTCAAGATTATAGCTGCTTTTCACACTCACGCAGAATTAGTTCATAATAAAATGCACGCTGCGGCGAAATCCAATGGCGAGAGAATCCTTTAATTGGTTTTGGCAATCGAAACGAATACACGTGATTGCCCCATTGTTAGTCCTGGCGCGTTCCAAATGTAGAACAAAGAAACAACTTCAAGCGTGTTTCGGCGGCGGATCACGTTTTTCATTAATAAGTATGTTTGATAGAAAAAAAGACAAAAATAAGCAAAGTAAATAATACACATGAAGAGAAAAATATCTTATTCGAGTTCGATTGAAATTGAAAAAAAAAACATCATTTTAAGTAAATCTAATCTGCGCATAATAATATTGATCCAATTTGACTAATAGATGGATCAAATTTTAAGAGAGCAGCACTAAAAGACAATGATTGACTGCGTGTGAAGCGAGCTATGGTGTCGCATGACAAACGACCCAAGACGCCGCCTGTCAATGAGAGCAGCTTGTCTGTCACGTGGTCCGGCGAAATGACAGCTGCTGTCAGCGCTTAAGATAAATATTATTCATTTGCTCGCAACTTGTCTGCGCCCAGAATTAATTCTTAATGGCCCTCATAAAACAGCTGGAGAGTTGCTGTGCCCGGTCCAAGAGTTATATAAAGAGTTGTGTGTGTAGTCCATCGATTATTCATCTTTAACATAACTTCATTTTTGCATTCAAAAGATTAAACTGCAAAAAAATAAAAAAATTAATAGTTTCTAATAGCTTTATTCATTCAAAGTGAGGAAAAATGGGCAACATTTTTTTGAAGAGCCTAGAATTGTTTATTAAAAAACAACATTTTAGCGATGACTCGGCCCAATTTTTTTCGATGGACATTTCCTCCAGTTGTCTTATTTATAATATAAAAGTGTAAAAAGTTAAACTCTTGCACAATAATCTTATTTATTTAATAGACTAAATGAAATTTTGTGTAAATTAATTAAAAAAATATTTCCTTATTACAAAGGCAGCGTGATTATTTAATATTAAACCAACTATTAAAAAACTTAAAAATTAAATAGACTTAAAATATTAAATTTTGATGATGATATAACATAAAAAACTAATTATTATCCAAAATGCCAAACGCGAATATGAAAGAAAACAGCACTATTCATAGTCAATCATAACTTTACCTTCACAACTGATAATCAATCTACAAATAAACAAAAGTTGTACTATAAATATACTGTATGTCAATTTTAAATAGTTATGTTGTAAATAATATAAATAATAAAAATTACAACATTGATTAAAAAGAACAAAATAAAATTATAATTATAATAATATATTATTAAATTAGAAAATTTTATTGAACACAAATATTTAATAAAATTCTACCAAATTGAATTAAAATTAATTTAATTTTATGTATGCATGTAAATAAAATGAGGCTTTTTCGCTTTTTGTCAGCAATAATTTTAAATTACAAGTTGATTATGATACAATTAAAAAAATAAAATAAAAGCACGTTTGATGAGTAAACGATTTGGCGACTTTTTTCTCTGTACAATAAATTAGTCCATTTTATTGAAAACGGACTTGACAAACGGAGGAAAAGACACATTAACATTTGTATATTTACTGAGCGAAATAAGTTAAATTGAACAATTAACACGGGGTCAGCGAGAGTAGAGGATTAGCGGCGAGACAAGTAACAATGCCGGGCCAGGGCCAAGTGGAAATAGCCGCGGTGCGCTTGCGTGTGGCCGGTTTTGATAGTCGTTTTCGGCCGCGCGCTATTGCTGTTTGCTACCCCTCTCGCGCCCTAATGCCCCTCACAATCAGCGCCTTTGTTTCATCAGATTCGCGGCTAATGATGACGAATTCTTCGCTCCTCTCGCAACGCCATCAATCAGCCCAGCTAGTAGCCGGGCTTGTAGTCGCCGCACCGGGGGAAGCCTTTTGGCACTGCCGGGAACTCGGACTGCTCGCCAATCTTCAAGATTGCGCCCATGCCCGAGTCAAGGTGGAACAAAATGTGACAGTGGATCAACCAGTAACCTACAAATTGATTTTTTTGTTGAAATTTATGTGAAATTCAAAGAAAAAAAAACATTATCAATATTTAATTTTGGGAATTCAATTAAATATGCTTATTAAGGTTTTGGATAATTTCTTATGGCTTAATTGTGACAGTAAATTGGATTTCAATTTTTTTTTAATTGTATAAAATTTTCTTTATTTAAAATCGTTTTTCAATATTTCACTGTCCTTTTATAGTTAAAGTTTTACTTTAGCGAAGTTTGACTTTTTGAAAAGACAGATATAAAAAGCAAGAAATATTAATTGTTATTAGAAAAAGAATTAAAATTGTAACTGACATATTTAAAGTGTTTTTTTAACTTTTATGAAATTTCATAGCTGTTTTCCAGTGAAATAATTAATTAAAAATAGCTTAGTAAACCATCTACCAGGTTTTAGAAAATTACAAACTTGCATCTAATGTGATTAAGTAATTACTTAGCAAAATATTATAATTATATTAATATAATTATAATAAGTATTTTGCCAACCTCAGCACTCTTAAATATTTTGTAAAACTTAAAAAGCTCTCAATCTAACTTCCTCAAGTCGACTCTACAAATTTCGAAATAATAATATATATTTTACTGAAATTTTCTGCAACAAAATTGTTTTATTTCCATAAAAACAAATTGTTGAAAATATTTTTACCTGGATTAGTGGCCTTGAATCGAATTTTGGCGTATCCAAAGCTCGGCACAGCAATGGTGTCCTTTTTGTTTGGATTAGGATTGTTCCTATAATCGTAGGACAGAAGGTGTTTCCCCATCAATCTGTCATCACTGCTTCCGATTTCCAGAACGTAGAACATCAGTCCATGCATGTGAATGGGGTGCGTTAGACCTCCATTTGTGTTCACTGGATTTATTTGAATTAATTGAATTCTTGATAACAATTTTACGCCTACTGTTGTCAAGGTAGAGGATTTCCACGATCGATCCTGTTGGCACAGAAATTATGTTGATGCACTCTCGGTGGCCGGGAATGATTCCCTCTGTTTGAGGGTTTTGGCAGCACTTTTCACTGCCACTCGCGCAAAGGTTTTCTAAAACGTCAGGCTGACTGAGAGGCGGCGCAGGTGGAAGGATCAAAGAAATGTTGTTCATTCTGCCAGCCACCTGAATATCCGAAGGTGCAGGAACTGCAATACAATTTATTATGAAACTTTTGTTTTGCTTTTATAATAATTTAAAGTTAGTAGAGCAAAATATACAAAAGCAAATTCATAGATTTCAAATAAATTTTTAAGTGGTGAATATGTTAGGAGAATTCCTTTTCTTTTCGAGCAGGTTGCCCTCATTTGAACCCATAAACATTCATTTTGAAACTAAATAAAGTTGTATCAAATAAATAAAAATAATTCTTAATTAATACATGGGAATTTTCTGTACCATAGAATTTGTAAAAGTGGGGGTTTTTGAAGAGAGAGTCGTAGTCAAACGTGTGAAAGTCGAAAGTCATGGTCATTCTGATGACATCTTGGGAGGTCAAAACTGGGTCAACGGCGAGCAAAGGTCCTTCGGCTTGCAGTTGATTGACGCAGACGCCAGGTTGGCCCGGCTTGCACGCGCCCGCCAGAGGATTCAGCACCTAAAACAGAGGAACAACATTACGCCTGCAGAATTTGAGGTAGTCAACCTGCTTCACGTTGGAGCGAGGCCGTTTGCAGCACGCTCCAGCATGAAAGGTAAAAAGGTCTGTTTTATGGAAAAAGAAAATCTCTACACTGTGATTACCAACAGAAAAATAAATTAAAAGGTTGCAAAAGAAAAAACTGTATTGAATTAACGATGCTTAAAAGCTATTTCATGATTATGTTATTTTTTAAATTAATTTTAATATAATTATGGATAGTTTAAATTTATCACATAAAAAACTTTACTTGAAAAAAAAGGATTAAACAAAAAAAATCGTTTAATAAATAAAGTACAATGATGAGATTATTTTATTCAATTATAAACTGTGGCATGCTTTTAGAAACGAATCTATTTTTATTGGGCAGCAACTTACAACTCCTTCGGGAAGACCTGCAGGTCCAGGGCTGGGCGAGGCGAGCAGGGAATTGTACGAGGCGCCTTCGTAAATGAGCAACGCTTCCTGATAAATGTTGAGGTTTTCGCACTCCCCGACGGCGCGCAGACTGATCCAGTAAATTCCCACAGGTCTGTTCGCGTTGATCACCACATCATATCTCTCGCCTACGATTTCAAAACTTATTCCAATTAGCGAAAACCAAAGAAATACGTTTGTCTATTTTTAAAGGGAACAAAAAACTAGATTATGATCGTTGGACGTCACGTTGTGCGCCGCGTGACGGGGGACGTGTGTGAGAGGATAACAAGGGCCATAAAAACGTCTTGTTGAAAGCTAATATTTGGCAAAACCTGCTAAAAAGGAAGGCGGTCGTTACGCAAGTTATGTGAAAGCAATTGCCTCGTTAGCTCCAAACCGCGCGATTATATAACAAGTAGTTCTCTAATTATAGAAAATTTTTTTCTGTTTATACCTGGCAAAATTACAAGCGAGTCGACGACGACAGGCTTGTTAGGACTGCCGTCGGTCGCGATGGCCGTCAGGTAGTGCTTTTGCACGGTGAAGACCAGTGGACACACCAGACAGCCGGCGTGAATCAGACGGAAACGGTACCGGAAACCTGGGAACACGCGGAACTCGCTCAAGGGAATGCCGTTGCTAGAATTCGTCACGGGGTTCTGAAAAGCAAAAGTATTTCAAATCAATTAGTTGCAAATTAGAATCAAGTTTCATACAATTATTAAAAAAAAAAAACGATAGTTTTATCAATTACAACGTTTATAAGATAATTTATTTGGATTTTTCTATACTGCTTGAGATTTGAGAAATATTATTACAAATAAATGTGAGAGTCCAATATTTGTTGCATAATATTAATGAAATGAAATCCGAAAATGAAATTGAATATAAAAATGTAGTCAAATAAAACAATTTAAGATAAAAACTTCAGGCTGAAGTGAACATTCTTTCCTAACTTTCCCAGTATTAGCTGCTCTACTATATTTAATCAAATTAGATTACCACATAAGATTGACATATTTTAAGAAATTAAAAAAAAAGGGGGAAAAAGAGTTAAATCAGGTAAGAATGTTGGGCGAGGAAGGTGAAAAGAAGTAACCTTTGGAAATAAAGTTTACTCTCTTTGAGAAAAAAAAGTAGGTACAATTCGTCTCAAATTGCATCAGTTTCTGCTTAAGAGTTATTGTGAATTTTCATTGTTAATTACGTTAAATTTTAAATCCCTATTGAATTTTATTCCTAAGTTGCGAGTAAATTTATTTCTTTAAATTAATTGCTCTACAATAACATTATTTCTGACGTACTTTAGCGTCGTGAAAAATTCACATTGAATGTCAACCTTGGTGATTTAGAGAGATCAAGCTTAAAAAAAATGAATTACAATGAATCTGCCCCTGCCGTTGATGAGCAGAGCGTCGGGGCGTTGACCTCTGCGGAAGCGGCGAGGGCCTGGAAGACGTTCAGCCGTGTACTGGTGCAGCCAGTCCTGCAGGACGATCACGTGGGAGGGCAAATCCCAATCGTAGTGCTGGAAACTGGGGTCTTTAAGGCTTCTTACGATGATGCTGCCAGTCAGGCCGTCCATTTTTTGCAAACCTTTTAACGGTTAAATTATAAAAAATAAAAATAAAATTAGCCCTAAAGAACAGTTATTATTATTAGTATTATTTACTGAATTATTTTGTTAGCTATTTATGTTGATTCTTGAGATATTTTATTTATGAATGCGATTCATTAATTAGAATTAAGATAGTAGTGTAACAATTCTTTTGAAATGATTTAAAACTGATAATCAAATTTAAGTTTTGAATGAAAGATGAAAGTAGAATCTTATGGTAATAAAAATTTGGTCCTTACGTTTCTATTATTATAAGTTGTTAGTTTTCACATACAAAAAATTTTAAATGACTGAATGCCTGCTTTTGAATGATATATTGTATTGCAATATTTTTATTTTTAAAAAATTTAAAGAGCAATAATTAATGTTTTTTTTAAATCGTGTTTATAATATTTTATTAAAACAAATGGATGAAAATGTTATGAAAAAGTTTTTAAATACTTAAAATAATGGAATAAAATTGTCAGCATGATAAAAATAATTAGTTTAAGCTTATTTTGTTTTTTGTAAATTAATTATTTACCGTCGTGAGAGTGCCAGAAGTAAGTGCCGATTTCGTCCGCCTCATATGCATACCTAAAAGTGGTGCCTTCGGGAATTGGGCACTGGGTGAGCTGCGGGACGCCGTCGCTGAACGCGGAGCCCCTTTGCAAAATGCCGTGCCAGTGAATGGCGGTGGCCGCGCCGGGAATTCGGTTTTCAAAATCGACCACCACCATGTCACCTTGACACACCTGCAAGCCAAATTTATTTAATCAATCAAGGCTTCCTTTCCACGCTCAAATTGCCTGCAAGTGAATTCTTTCTACCAACCTGTATGGATGGTCCCGGCATTTTTCTATTGATCGTCATGATTCCTCTTTCGATTCCGTCCGCCGTCACGCACTGCCGCTCAAAACACGCCGTCCGGTTGTTCGGACAGTCACGGCAAGCCCTGAATTTTATATTTTATAATTAATGGAGTTTAATTAATAATTTATTGAAAGACTGCTGCTGCTTGGTGCTCCAAGACCAGAGCGAACAATTCAGGACAGGTATGAGAGACGTATGTGTCACCGCGAGAAGCAGGAAGAAAAATAAAAATGAAATCATTAATAATATAAATTTTAACTTGTTGAAAAACAACATTCATATTTTGCAGCATTGATAGTTGATAAAATGGCGTAACGTTGGAAAATTTTTGAAAGTAAAATCCTACATAGAAAAATGAAGCCAATTAAATTATCTTTATTTTTCTACATTTATTTTAGTCAATGTCATCAGAACTTTATTTATTTACCTTTACATCAAAATTTAATTTATTAGGGTGATTTTTTTTTTTAATTTTGAAGTTTAGCCTTTTGTTTGGAAATTAATTTTGACACCGAGATAAAATATTTGTAATAAAATTACATGCTGTTTATAAATGATCGAGAATGTTTTTTGAAAAGTGCCGATTGACCATAACAACCGTTTAGAGCTGCAATTTAATTAATTTTTGTAATTTGTTAAGGGCCAATCATCTATGGTTAAAATTTGGATCTCACATCAAATAAATTAAATTTCCAAACGAATCTTAAAAGAATTTCAAAAATTAATCATCCATTATAAATCAAATTTTGACTTTCAAAAATTTCTGTGGTATGAAATATTCATTTCGAAAAAAATCCGCACAATGCTTTATAGCTCTGCTCCGAAAAGATGATTTGTTGTAAAATAATAAAAAAAAAGAACGATAAGCTATTTCATCAACCATAATATTAATGGTGCAATACTATGAATGTCATTTTTAAACGTGTTAAAATTCGTATTATAAATCAGCGCGATGTCATTTTTATTTTTCTATGCCTGCCTCTCGCGAAATGTTTGTCTCTCATCCAATCTCATCCCTGTCCCGACTTGTTCGCTCTGCTCTTGGAGGACAAGAAGCAGCAGCAGCCGCCGGCGCCAGCGTGATAAAGGGGGAGTGTTTGCTTTCGCATTTGTGCAACATGACAACAAAAGTCACCCCAGCGACCCTATTTCGCCGAATTTGAGCCGACGGAGCACTTTGCCGACCTGCCGAAGACCCCAAACGGACCAGGGACCATCGCCGTGTCTCCAAGGTAGGGAAAACCGCGATTATAATTTTATTGAACGCGCGCCGGGCTCATTTACTTGGTTTGCCGTGTCGCATCGGCCGCCGGCACATGTGGCCCCTCTCGCGCTTCTGCCTGCGAAGCCACGTGGCCAAAGTGCAGAGAAATTTCAACGCCGATTTTTCAATTGCCGACTGAGCCGATTCGGGAGCCGAATTTTCGATCAACCGGCGAAAAATGTGATCTTCGGACTGCTTTTTAAGATGCGTTAAAACCATAAAAAAATTCGACTTCAGGGACCCTTTTGAAAGTTTGACAGGGCTTTACAATCATTCATAATAAAATAAAGTGATTTTCATGATCGAAAGACATTTTTTGAAATTAGATTTTTATTGTAACATAAAATAAAATAAATATTTACTTTCAATCTTTTGTCCTACTTCGAATATGACGAGATAATAATTGTATTACGCCGATTTTAATTAAATTGCCAGTTCAAAAGTTTGTTTGACGATTGGATTTTGACTCGAATTGGCAACTGTAATAATAAAATTGCCCTTACGGTCCGAGGGTGCTGTAGTACTCCATGACAAAGTGGTATCTGCAGGTCATTGGTGGCGCGCCCTTGACGCACGCCCTTCGGCACCCTCTGCCGTTGTACATCTTGGACTCGGCGTGATACGAATTGGCCGCCGGTGCACGCCATGCTACGTGTCTTTTGCTCACCACGTTAAATTCCTCAACTGCAAAAAAATAAAGAGCAAATCAATTTGTTAATTTTGGTGCAATTTTAAATTTATTTTCAAGCGAAACATAAATTTGATAAATGAGATGTAAATTGGTTCTTTATGAAATTTGTTTTCTTAATTTGTCTATTTAAATTGAAAGAGATAATATTTATCATTATTATTCTAAAGTGATGGATGTGAAAATAATAGTGCAGTAAGTTTTTGTAAAAATGAATTACATAAGATTGAGATTTTTAGCTGAAAATGAAAAAAAAGTCAAGATGGGGGGGGGGGGGGATTAAACAACATACTTCAAACGCTGCTTCTAAGGCAACTGTTTGAAGCCTTTTTATAATTAGATTTTTAGCAAAATACAAAAAGTTGAATTAGTATAACTTCCATAAATTTGTTACATTCACATAGGCCGTGATTTAGTAAAAAATAAAATTAGATTTATGCAAGCAAAAACGTTACTCTAATATATGTTTTTAAATTAATGTGTGCTTAAATAATTTGACTATTATAATATTGAAGAAGTTGGCACTTCAGAGAGACATTTATGCATTAAGTTTATCAGTTCTATTAAGAATCAACATTCTTATTGTAATAGAACGAGGAAATAATTTTCCTAAAAGTGCAAGAAAACTTGCTTATTTTTCATTTCACCAAACTTAATGCTAACTAACTCAATTATACAGTTCTAGACGTGGAGATGAGATTGAATATTAATTCATTCGTGCTTTTTGGCCTATACATGACTATAAGAAAATTTGGCTGTTTTATGTATATTTTTTACAATTTGGTTGCTGGAAAAGACGAGACTCGGTCAAAAAATGTATTTTCTCAAAGCACCGTGAGAATTCTTATCTTGGTCAAGAGTGGCGCGGCCATTAATATATTGCCAGGCAATTGCGGTGCCAAGAGCAGGCAGGACTATTAAAGGCCAATAAAAGAGATTAGAGTCTCTGTGCGCGCTGCACATTGTTTCTCTTGCTGCACTCATTTTTTTCCGGCGATTTATGTCGGTGTAATTGAAACGGAATTGCCTCCTGATTTGCCGAGAGATTCAACCGATTGCAAGAAAACGACGCTCCATAAAATAAATTAGTGTACAAACAACTGGGAGATTTTGATCGTTTTGAATTCTCCAGCCCAATAAAAAGAAAATAGAAAAAATGCCCGCAAACAATAAAATTAAACAACAATTGCGTCAATCGCAAAGAATATCTAAAGTAAGCGGCGTAAATTTACGAAAATTAATTTATCAGTCAGTGAAAATCAAATCTTGGTTTAAGCATGACCAGTGCAGAACAAGTGCTGGTAATCAAATAATTAAAATGTTCAAGTCTGAAGGAAAACAATTAATGGTTAAATTATTCGGAAAGCAAAGTAAAGCAAAAATGTTACTATAATATAATAAATCCTATTGTGTATATTTAGTGATGAAGAATTTGAAAAAATGGATTTGAAATATAAAAATCACTATATTCAAGTTTCTTTAAAAGAATTAAGTTTGAATTTTGGATAAATTGCAAGGCTTTTTTGTATAGCAACTATGAAATTTAAAATTTTCAGGCAATTTTCAATTTTAATTTGCATTTTTACCGAAATCTCATTTTATTTTTCAGACATCATGTGGTACCCCTTTGGGACTTTGACTGAAATATTGCAATCAAGCGTGTGTTGCCGGTCGCTGCGTTAATTAAAGTCCGCGCCCATCGCGATGCGAAACAAGAGTAATGTCTCAATACGCGCGAGAGAATAACGCGATAAGTGTACGACATGCATATTCATGCTTCATTACGGCACAATCAAATTTAGTTAGTCTGACGCCAAGACGTGTCGCGATCTAATCGCCGGCTGGTATTTGTAAATAAATAAAATATTTTTCAAATCAGCGTTCATGCACTCTTCATTCCGGGGCCGGAGCAACCATAAATTACCAGACGGTGCAATAAACAAACCAAAGGCTGCAGCACCTACGCTTGTTTGTGCAGAGGTGCGATTACCCTGTGCTAAGTGATGCGGCCGAGGTGTCCGCCGCAGATTTATTATCAACTTTAGATGAAGGAGGAGGAATGCTGTTAGAAAGCAGCGGTGGTTTAGTTATACAGAAAATATTTCATAAATTATGTATATTTTCCAATGGTTCAATATTTTTTCTACTTAAATATTAAAAGTAATTTGGCAATTAATATTAGCGAGAGTGAATTTGAAATATTAGAAAAATATGATGGTTTAATAAATTGGGGTTTTGAATTAAAATAAGAACAAGAACACTCTTGTGTACAAATTAGTTGATGAGAAAATGTTTGTTAAGTTTATTCGAAAGATAAATTTATATGTCCTGGAGACTAAAAATTATGAAAAACCTTTTGAGAGCTATTATAAAACTGAACACGAAAAAGGTTTAATGTAATTGCCCTCTTAAATACTTTTTGCAACTAAATGTTAAATTTTATGAATACCCCAGCGATGGGACACGTACATGCTTTATTTAAAAAAAACCCTGTTTATTGGCAAGAGGGATATTAAAAAAAAGAGGGACATGGAAAATATTCTATAGGATGAAAATTTTATGGCTTTTAATTTAGGACAATTTATACTCTTCAAATATTCTAATGAATTTGTGACAACTAAAGACATACCACTTTTTATAAAGGGGTTTTAACCAAATAAGGATTATATCCTCAATGTGGAACAAGTCACATAATCATAATTTTCATTTGAACTGTTATATTATTATACAACAGATAAAGTCTACCAAGTAAAACGAAATATTTATTTGAAGTATCATCATTAAAATAAAGTAATATACAATATTTATTTTCAATGATTTAATGAAAAGTAAATATAAAAGTAGTGACTAATAAATAAATAAATTATAAAACTATGAAACTATTAACAAAATAAAACGTTTTAATTTTGTTTTTTTAAATAAAATACAATTGTAGTTTCCATTTTTATTATTGTGAATAAAATTTGTTTAAAGATAAGTTTGAATATTTGGGCATTACGATATCTCATAATTTGTGATTTTTCCTCATTTTGCAGCATATCAATATTTTTCATATTGATCATTTTTAAGACGCGCGTTCGGTGGGTCAGGTTCCAAGCAACGAGATAACATAAATTTTTTGTCTTTCGCTCTGGTCCCATTTCACTCGCAATAGCCAGCAGTGAAAAGGCGAACGTCGGAATAAATAACGATTTCGCTCTGCTTTGTTCGGTCGCAAAAGTGGTTTCGCTCCACCTTAGGAAACTGATTAAATTTGGCCGTTTGTCATACATGAAAATAAATTAACTCGGCGGTCAGCTTCTCGTTGCACAGCTTCTTTAAATAAAACTTTGGTGACTTGAAAGGAAGTTGTTGGTCACTTTGAACAAACCTCATCAATTTGCATTGAGATAATAAAAATGAATTAATTGTTTTGAACTAGATAGGTTTTAAACAAAATTTCCTCTCCTATACGTAAAAATCACACAATATACTAGGAATAATATAAAAATGATTCCGATATAATAAAGATTTATAATTTTTTACTTTTAGGACACGCAGAAAAAACAAGCTCGAATCGCTTCGAGCTTGCAAATCTTGGTTCCCGCAGCTCTGAAAAGTATTTTATTTTTGCCGTGCGTCCTCCCACGCGTGCAATACCTGCTAGTTTATGGTGCACAATAAACAAAAATACAATTCGCAAATCCTCTCCCGCAGACTCACCTCCTGCGTCGTCGTCCGGACTTGTTAATTCATTGGCAACCACCAGGGCCAAGCAGGCGGCGAAAAATAAAAATTTTCGGGCGCCCCTTGCGGACGTATCCATGGCTGGACGACGAATGATTGAATGATTGGAAGTTCCGATTTCCGGAATTCAAACAAACGACCGCTATTTCTAATTTTGGGCATTATTTGAATGCGCAGCGTGCGTCATTGCGGTAAGTGACGATTTACACGCTAAGTGAAATTGAATTAATTTAAGAATCAGACAAACCCTGCGGGAAATTACTTTGACTAGTCTATCAAATTTAAAAGTGATTACATTAGATATAAATTTACTTGAAGGTTGAAAATTTGATTTAAATATGGAATTTAATTTTTTCCCTTGATAATTTGTCAAAAAATTTTAGGGCTTTAACTTAAAAATGTAAAAAAAGTAAAAGTTTGTGGATTCTATGCGCAATTAAAATTTAATTTCATATAAAATCATACATTTTTTTTCCTTTGAATTTTCTAGCTTACGCCAAAGTATCATTTTTTTTTTTAACAAGGAGAAGCTACTTTATCTATTACATTTGTTGAATCAATTTAATTTGCATTTTAAACAATCTGAAATATTCTCATTTTTAATATTTAATCTTAAATTATTCATGAGCTATCCACCTTGCTTTGAAAGAAGAAAGCAAAAAATATTAACGACCGAACGAGCCGCAATGTTATAAATTGCGTTGGTAAAAAGCCCTTGTTTATTAGACGGTGCGAGAACGAGAGCAGTTCGCTAAAAGCCACTGAGTATTGAGAGAGCGACGAGGAGTAATGATGATTGCGCTGCATTGAAAAGAAGAGAGGCCAATCACATAAAAAATGAGCGGATTTGCGACGGCAGCACAGCAATGCACGGAATTTATTTCTTTTAATTGACAGCCATTATGCATGCCTTATGGCCAGCGGTGTGCGTGCATTGCTGTCAAAATCACACTCATAACTTGCGAGCAGCTCACTTTTATTTCTGGCTCTCCAACGCTATGTATGCGCCTGTTTCGTGCGCAACCCAAGTGTGGGTCCGCTCAAGCAAAACAACATACCAGATGTTTTAAATTTGGAAGAAAAAAAATTAAAATGATCAATATAGTACCCAGTAAAAAAAAAACTTTTAAATAGTTCATTTAACATGAATTACTGTCTTGACTTTTTTAAGTGTGGTATAAAAAAATATAAGGCGAAAATAAATTGTATAAATTATTTGTAGACTTTTACAAAAGTCATTTTATTTTATTTTATAACATTTAATTATATT